GATGTGTAGATTGACCAACTTGTAATCTCCAGTCTAATATAAAATATCATTCCGAAAAAAAAAAATTGAGCGCTACATTGTGGATTTCAACATACGAATGACGTGAGTAATAAAATCTAATAGAAATCTTAATGATAGAATAATTTGATTAACAAAAATATCAACATGGCCGCAATGAGAAATTGTGCACAGCTGCCTTACATAAACAACTAGAATCAACGACATGCTGTGATAAAGAGCTTTCAGGTTTGTTCTTAGTAAAAAATACAACTGCAAGGCAGCAGATCAAATGTGTTCAATGTTTCAAGTAGCTTTTGACGACTAGGTCCTGATATCATAGCATGTTTGGGTTAAGTGCATCTGGATCACAACATGATATTTTGCCAGTAGCATGTCATGTTAACAATAACCATTATACTTGACTACATTTTATATTGATTGTTCGTAAATATGTTTGAATTATCGAACGTATTTTTGGTAACCAAACTACGAAGATCATTACCACATTTATAGAAAAAACGGAGTGTTAATAGTTTGATCTGTCTGAACCTCTTCCAAAAATCTTTTTCTGAGACTAAAGTTCAGGACACGGATCACACTTGATTACAATCTTTAGATGTTAAAGTTGTTGTCGCGCTGGTCTTTTTTGCTTTTTGGGTTTTTTTTTAACTCCAGGTTCAAAGATAGATGTGTTCAAGTAACATGTTAAACCACAATAATCATTGTGTGTAATTATAACTGTATAGTACTCAAGTATCCTACGCACCTCACACCTTACTGTTTTAGTTTCTTTGAGAAACATCAAGTAACAAACGAATCAACTCTGCTGAGTCTTAACTTAACCGATCATGACCAGCATAACTGCACAACTAATCACATGGATAATATCTACAACATGTCAAACATGATCTCAAACCTACCGAATATGACGTTCCAAGCAATGAAAGGTCATAGCGCAGAGGAAGAATTCTGGCATTAAGTTACATTACAAAATCTAAAATCAGAGATAGCTTGGCATTGGCTATTTTACTTATATGCATATTAAGTCTCGATATTTTCACATTATGAAAAATTTTGATAGATTTCACAGGTAAGATATGATAAATATCCAGAGATATATTGGTGCATTGTTTTAATAAAAGGTAATTCAAAATATCGAAGTTATTCCATATAACCAATGTAACCGTTCACACCACTTCTGAAATACTTTTATCTTTTTTAATCAAATGTCCAAGATCTTATTTGCGATATAATTTGTTTAATTTGTTGAGCTGAAATTTGTCCGAGTGACTTCTTAACTTCCTTAATCTATCGAAGAAAAATATACTTGACATTTCAGCAATTATTTTCATATATTTGAGTGCTGCTTTAAATGGAACATTTAGGCGCTTATGCACGATGTTTTTTTTCTGTTAAAATGTATCAAAATAAACTTCATTGTCGCTTGAGCATGCGCCTCTAATGTGTCTATCTATGTTATTCTGAAACCATTCATTATCATTCATTCTTAATTCCATCGAGCCACTCTATGCCTTATAGGAGAACTATCAAACAGGGGAGACAATTGTGCATAACTTTTATGTTATGTAGTGAAACAAACTATAACTATTGATGTTGAAACAAATTGCTGATTACCTTATATCTTTTATATAGAAACTATAAGGACTGGTAAGATCCTCCTCAGCTAGACCATAAACAGACTGGATATACATCATAAGCTAAATGCCGCCATTCAAATATTGGTTTTTCTTGAAGACGAAATGTCTCGTATCACTGAAACCTATTATTGGGCATTTATTTCAACTAGGTTGTGTATGTGACTACCATACTTCCTTACCCACTCCTTGTATATATATCAGGTTGTGTTTGTGACCGCCACTTTTCCATACCTACTCCTCATCATCCTACTCGTCCACAATCTCACGTTACCGGGCTCGTTGCATGTTTTTTTTTTTCATAAAACCAGACTTAAAATATCTTTTAAAAATTCGGGCAATTTATTCGTATGTTTGTTTGATATGACACATAAGTTACAGCTTAAGGACGAAATGATTATATTCATGCGTCGCTTTCTTCCTGATAACGAATTCTTAAACTCATTGCTCTGAAGTATCGTATACAAAACAGCTACATTTCGTATGTAATGGACACTATTTGCATTGCAAAGCAAGAAACTAAAATTATTATTAAATATTTATTCACCATAGTTATTTGTTTCATACAGTAATCGTCTATTGATACCATACGCCGCCATCGATATGTATTTTTTACTCCCAGTTAAGGGGAATCATGGAGTGCAGTGTATATATATATATGTTTGTGTATATATGATGCTGCACACAAATGTAGTATTTATTCCTGGCTTTATCTTATAGTTATCGGTTTGTCTTTACTGTTGTGTGCAGATTTGATTAGAAGCTGTTATTCAAGTGTTTTATTCAGTGTTTATTGGATGGGGGCTCCATATCACACTGGCTAGTTTCAGCTAATTCAATAACAACTGTTTCAGGTAATAAAAAACATACACGAGGTTGAGGTACCGTAAATCTTTCAGCAGAATTGTAACTCATTCATAGAAACCATTTCAGTTTATCAAACCAAACGATGATATCTTTCTTTTTGTAAGTTTCGCAAAATGGTTTGTAATAATTATTATATCATGATCTCTTACATGCGTCTTTTTAAATTCTTATTGTTTTGTAAATTCCAAATTGAAGAGGAGCATTTTTGAAGTTGTATGTCTAAACAATTGTCCCCCTGTTTTCCTATGGACATATTAGGATAGGGTCAATCATATGATCAGTTTAAGGCGTGAGGAAACATACCAAAACGCTCTACAATAGTTTTAACACTCGTTTAGACCACGTTTGACTTTCTAATTAACTTGCTAGATCTCTACGCTTTAGTCACATTGTAACCAGTGAGGATGAGCTCCATACTTAGATACACGTGTCACTGTCACATTGTAACCAGCTGATGATGAGCTCCATACTTAGATACACGTGTCACAGTCACATTGTAACCAGCTGATGATGAGCTCCATACTTAGATACACGTGTCACTGTCACAGTGTATCCAGCTGATGATGAGCTCCATACTTAGATACACGTGTCACTGTCACAGTGTATCCAGCTGAGGATGAGCTCCATACTTAGATAAAGGTGTCGAAGTTACAGTGTAACCAGATGAGGATGAGCTCCATACTTAGATACACGTGTCAGTCAGGAGACATCTCTGCTCTCAAGGTGGCCATATTAAGAAGTAATTATCAAAGGATGAAGAATCAGTTCCATTGATGAAAATCAGTCATCCCATATGAAACATTTTCCGTACCTTCCTGAAAGCAACATCGCAATATCTTGGTGAGACAATGTAGTCATTTACCTTCATCTTTACATCATACTGATACATGTACAAGTAATTATTGAAAAGGAATAAATTGTCAATATAAAGACATTCTTTCATATTACTGACTATATCCATACCAGATTTTGACTCTAACTGATTATCTCCCTTTTATATTCCCTTCTATCTGTACAAGGTAATAGAACACGTAACATATGGAGGCAGAGTACTCTACCTCTAGATCTAAAACATTATATCTAAATCATTTCATACACATTATAATATTATGGGTTTGATACATATAATATAACTTTATTTGTCGTTTAAGGACAAGGTATACATCAATAATGACCATATTGGTGATTTATTAGAACAGCATTTAATACATATCGCCTTCACCAACAACCTTATACACGTATATGTGTCAGGAGATAAAGGTTTTACCAACTTTGTCAGTTATAAGAAAGGAGAAAAATATCAACATTAAGTATGATACATGAATTATTAAAGGTACTTATACATGAAGGTCTCTGATATTTGACATATTTTACATACATTGAAAGAAAATAAGCTTTTGCTGACCAGCTATGTAACAAATAGTAAAAACCTAAAATGATACCAAAATGTTATACCTGTTTGTACCTAATTTTGGTATGGGAGTGTTGGATTTGACTAGCAAGCTTGCATCAAACATGTTGACCTTGAAAATACACATATAATCTCCAAACTTGAGAATACTCAGAAGAGGACTAACCTAAAAAACAAAACTGACAATTTATATATTTTCAACAAAACTTCTCATCACCAAAGTAAAGTACATACCTATCTTATCTTATGAGTTCATTCTCTGATATTTTCCTGTCAATTTGATTTGTCATTATTCATCTTTTATTACCCTCAAAATATTGCTTAAATCTGCATTCATCTTTGTCCTTCAAAGAATAGCAAAAAATGATATTTTATAAAAAAAAAAAAAAAAAAGTCTAGATACGGTTGTAGTCAACACAAAATACCTGGTACAAACTATGCCTAGTTCTATGAGGTTGGCAAATTGATATCCATGAATCTTAAAAGATATAAATGTAAACTTGTAAAAGGATTATCTTTTTCAAATATCTACAAAATTATAAAATCAATATACAAGAAATTTTGGTGAAGAGGTTCAAAATCAGTATCTGGTTATTCGGCCTACAAGGGAGACTGACAAAGTGATATTTGCAACATATCTATGATTTACTTATGAACGAGTTCACGTTCGATGATTGGATTTAAAGAAACTGCTGATAAATGCTTTAAAGTTGCTTTCAATTTTATTTTGATGGATTTTCAAAGAACTCATACCATGTCAATGTCGCATTCGCACTAAATATGTCTGAGAACATACTCTATATTTCAGACAATTAGAAAATGCGAGGACGTTTCGCTGTACTTACGTACCTAACTCTGTGATTTTTAACAACTGATATGTGAATATAATATTGTTGTATGTCCGTGTTTTATCCGATTGCTAAATTTCTTATCAGGAATTAACCAATCTGATTAAAGTACAGATGGATTAGAAAATCAATTTAAATGCATTCCGGGTCTCTATTTACCGTTCTCTTATTCTGTTTAGACGGTTATTGATCATGTGACCGTTTATTTTTCTGTTCAAAATGGCGGCCGCCGTGAAAGTGACAAGTGTTTTCCGCAAAAGTCTTTTCAATGGGAAAGTTGCTATAGTCACAGGAGGTGGCACGGGTATTGGTAAAGCAATAACACAAGAACTTCTTCATTTAGGTAATCAACATGGTTTAGGCTACACTATATTTTATGTGGAGTTAAGTATTTCTGTATAGAAGCCTCATACCAATCAATGTCTCCATTTTGATACCGGCTCAAAGTTCGAACAAGGTTACACAGCGACACTGACATAAGTTGAAACAGTCCATGCCTGAAAAGAGCACGACATTTGAAAAATGACCGTCGTTATATTGAAAGCTACCAGTTAGGCTTATGTAGCAACATTTTTAGAGCGAAATTTGTGTGAATGCTATAATGTTTTATTTTAAAATACATAGAGCCTTGTATTGCAAGTCCCAACTGTTGAAATGATGACATTTTCACTCAAATCTCTTCAATATTAAAAATTTTAACTGTGTTGCCTGAAAAATTTGAATATCAATATAATGTTCAATAGCTGCATAATGTGCTCATCTTTCCTTCCTTTTGCAAAATTGCTGGCATTCAGATGTCATGGGAATTTTTCCTGAATTGTCCAACTTTGCAAAATGAAAAAAAGGCAAGTTTAGATTATAAATCAAATAATGAGCTGGTATCAATACAACTCAGTTTAACTGTAAATTAAAGGGATATTTTGCATTAGATAGGATTCAACAAAATCCTCTACATACTTGTATTCTTATGGAACTCATACACATTAGTTTACTATTTAGAGGAACATGTAATATATTTAATTTGCAGAAATTCTTTATGTATCTATTTAGATCAATTACAAATTTTCATGCTGCCCTGATTATGTCCTAACAGGTTTGTTTGTTACAAGTCGAATATAATTAACATTTGTGTAAATTATATAATCAGCAAAAATTAAGCATTAATGCAGTAATAAATTGTAACCCAACAGAAAATCTAATGAAAAATGCACACTTGTGTATTTACCCATTACTCTGCATAAAATCTATGATCCAGTTACCTTTCAGTTCTTGATTTCCCAATGCGTTATATTTAGACGGTTATGCTGGAAGTATTCCCACCAATTTTACCTGTCCAAACTGACCACAGGAGAGATATTTTGATGCTATAATTTTTTTCAAAAGTCATCAGAATGAGTTATTAATAGGTACAGAACAGCCAGATTTTTTGTAATTTGGGTGGAATATCCCTTTAAGAGAAAAAATATTTTCATGCAATTTTCCTGTATTCGCCATGCTGCACTGATTGTATATAAAACTCCACTTTATTACAATCAAATAAATTAGAAACTACATATCCCTTTTGTGCAGCTTTCTTTTCCCTTTATCTATGGGTACTATACAATTTAGATAGGATTACCTGCCTTAATAAAACTACTCTCGGCTAGTTTACAGTAGCTGAAACTGTCTGTAGGAAGCAAAGTCTAATTAAAGAGTAGAAAAATACAGCTGTCAATCCTGCCTAGCTGCATATGACTATATTTGGTAACACAAGGGGGATAAGAAGGGTAGTTTAGCTTTTTTCATCTTAATTAATTTGCAGTGAAGTATTCATATTATTATAGATATCCTTTATTCCTTTATTGATATTCATTATGTTTATACAGAAACTGTGATTCAGGTAGTTAAGCTAAAATGATATACATAAGATATGTTCTGAGAACTCCTACAGGTAAGTATTGTAAATTGTGAGATATTATTGAAGTGTTTAAGTTTTCATCAATTCATTTGTGATGCCATAATTTAACAGAATCAAAATGCAATGAGACATCATCAAAACGTTAGAGAGACTATAAAACCTTGTATAAGACAACATTAAACAAGGGAATCTCAAATCAGCAAAACAAAAGCATTTATTGAGGATCGTACAATCATTTTAAAAATTATTCTGTTAAAATGCAGTTTTCACAATTTCTCCAAAGAGGTCTAAATTATGATGTAAAAACAATGTTTTATTGGCCACCATAGCTGACCGATGACTAGTTATTTAGTGAAGTAGAAGAATCAGACACATCATATCGTATCCTTGAGCAAGAAACTTTATCATTATAAGTCTGGAATGGAGCATACTTAGTGCAATAGTCTAGATTGGATTTAAAATTTTCATTGCTGTAATATTTAAATGATATGATACAATAAAAGAAGTGATGCTGTTGGAGGCAAAATTCCACCTAGCAAAAAAAACATACATAAAACAAGCATGCTGGTATACACACACATATACAGGATAGCGGTCAAAAATATTCAGATTGTCAATGGTGGACACCTGATTTGCAGAAGTAGAATTTTCCATTTCAAAGTTAATTTATTTGAAAAAGTTGCTGATTTTCCATGTTTCACATACAGCCTGAATTGTCTATACATCTGTGGGAGGTTTTCATTTTCTTTATGTATGGTTTGCAGAAAAGTGTTATATACATGCATTGTTATGATTCTTACTTTTATACAAAAGCTCAACAATTATACAGTTCTGTGAGAGCTAGTGCAGAAATGTTATCAGTGATTTATCTATATTATGTTAGGACTTTTTCAACTAAAAAAAAAAACAACAAAAAACTTGGATATTCCCTATGAAGAGCAAAATCAATTTATAATCTTAGTAATAAATAAAATAGCTGTTCATATGTATATATTGTAGGTTGTAAAGTGATGATAGCTTCTAGGAACATTGAGAGGCTACAGAAAGCTGCTGAGGAAATGAGGTCAACCATTGTCCCTAGTAAACCCACAAACCTAGCTCATATGCAGTGTAACATCAGAAAAGAAGATAACGTGAGTCAACATTCAGGTCACTGATCACTACTAATCACACTAGTACTATACGCAAACACACCATATCATTTTTTTATAGAGGCAAAACATAAACCTGCTGATTTAAATATATACATTCACCATATTTATCTAGCAATTAAGCCCAAATCTGATAATGACAATATTCAAATGAAATTATATGTATTGGTACCGCTCTTTAGTAGAATTGTAAGTACTAACAAATGAAATTATATGTATTGGTACCGCTCTTTAGTAGAATTGTAAGTACTAACAAATGAAATTTCATTTTCCTGTAATGAGCCCCTGCCTCCCTACACTTATGGCCATTTATTATCAGTTTGATCTTTGAATTTCTTTTTTATCTATTTTAAAAATTTGACTAATTTCTGTTTGTTTTTACAGTTCCTTCTCCTTTATAAACTATTAAGTACTTTGCAAAGCCAAACCAGAATGATTAAAATAAGATTTTAGAAAAGATTGTGATGCTGATAAATTATTTTATAAGGGGTGTTGAGCCATAACACAAAAAACTGCTATCCAGTTTATGTCAAGAATACACTTATGTATACACAACATAAAAAAATCATTTATATAAATCCCAATAATTTAATTACAGATTGTAATACATATAATTATGGTGGACTCTTTTCTTGGATATTTTTTTATATTATGGGGTGATAACAGAAAAAAAGTTATACCAATGAAAATGCTTGTTTCATAGAGAAAGATATTATTTTATTTTAGAATTTGTAATTGGCAATGTGAAACAATATTGTCATTTCATGAAGTCATATCCACTTACAACTCACTATTGATTCCAAACTACAGATAGATTTAAATTTCTGTACCTGTGTATGTTCTATTTTCAGGTAAAGGAACTGATTTCTACAACATTAAACCAATTTGGAAAAGTGGACTATTTAGTCAACAATGGCGGTGGTCAGTTTCCAAGTCCTGCCAGTAATATATCAGTCAAGGGTTGGAATGCTGTAATAGACACAAATCTCACAGGGACCTTTGTTATGTGTAGGGAGGGTGAGTGTTGGTTTTCTGCAAAGTAAATCCAATTATAAGAGTAAATTTACTGGGTACTGGAAATTCCTTGTCCTTTCATCATGATCAGTAACTGAAATTAATCTTCAGTTGATAACCACTTTTAGTTTATTCAGTTATGAAATTTTAAAAATGATTTGAGTGAAGTGTTTTTTTGCAGAAATTTCAGTCTATCAATCTGAAATGATACGTTAATCCTAAGGTTATAAATATCAGCCCTATTTCCTCATGATTTTAATGAAATATTAATTCTAGTTTACAACCAGTGGATGGAAAAAAATGGTGGAGTAATAGTCAACATTATAGCAGACATGTGGAAGGGCTTCCCTTCCATGAGGTAGGTACAGCTTCCCTTCAGCATGTCTGCGTGATGTCAGCATCATGGCAGATATGTGAAAGGATCCCCCTCCATGTCAACATTACTGATATTTGAAGGATTTTGTAAGTAGAGTCAACATGACCAATATGTGAAAGATATCATATGAAGAATTAATATGACAGATTTGTGGTAGGATTCTCTTCCATGTAGAATCAAGATGACAGATACTGTATATGGAAGGGTCTCCCATGTAGAATCAACAAGACAGATGCTGTATGTGGAAGGGTCTTCTATGTACAATCAGTATGACAGATACTGTATGAGGAAGGGTCTTCTATGTAGTGTCAACAAGACAGATACTGTATGTGGAAGGGTCTTCTATGTAGTGTCAACATGACAGATACTGTATGTGGAAGGGTCTTCTATGTAGAATCAACATGACAGATACTGTATGAGAAAGGGTTTTTGTAGAGGCAACATGACAGATACTGTATATGGAAGGGTCTTCTGTGTACAATCAGCATGACAGATACTGTATGAGGAAGGGTCTTCTATATAGTGTCAACAAGACAGATACTGTATGTGGAAGGGTCTCCTATGTAGTGTCAACATGATAGATACTGTATGTGGAAGGGTCTCCTATGTAGTGTCAGCATGATATATACTGTATGTAGAAGGGTCTCCTATGTAGAATCAACATGACAGATACTGTATGTGGAAGGGTTTCTGTAGAGGCAACATGACAGATACTGTATATGGAAGGGTCTCCCTATGTAGTGTCAGCATGACAGATACTGTATGTGGAAGTGTCTTCTATGTACAATCAGCATGACAGATAAGTGAAGGTGTTTTTATGATGTTGACCAAGTAGGCTATAAATAGAAACCAGACAATCATAGAAGACATTTGACATTGGTAGAAGCTTTGTATAACGTGATAAATTGGAGAAGTGTGATCCTTTTCATGACCTTTAAGGAAACAGTGTTAACTACTATTTATCATGGAGACAAAAATGACAGATGTCAGTATTGGTTCTAAATTTGTAACATTATAGTGTTACGATATTTTATGTCACTGAATTTCTTACTGGAGAATAATGATTAATTTTTGTGGCATTTTTTCATTAACAAGTAATAAATACTGACTTTGTTTGATTTACAATCCATTTATTACAGTTATTTTTTTATCTCTTGCCATTATCTGGCAGCAGAAATCAGAATGCATTGTAGTTGTTTCCAATTCCCTGTATAGTCATACCGGAGCTGCTCGAGCTGGTGTGGATAACCTGACCAAGTCTCTGGCTATTGAGTGGGCCGCTGATGGAATTCGAGTAAACGCTGTGGCACCAGTAAGGTCATAGGAACAAAAAACGTTTATCATTTAACATTGACTCTATAGACAATTTATTCAAATAAAAATTTCTTGTTTTATGAATATTGAAATAAACAAAAACAGTCTATACCACACAACTCTGTGTTCACGGACAATTTATTAATGCATTCATATACTCTCTCTTGTCTATAGATTTTCTGTAAGGACTTTCAGTTTATTGATTAGAGCACAGGGAATTGGAAATATAATGTGAAAGAGACCTTATCTTTTATACAGGGCAGTTCGATATTCTCAGAGACAGCAGCTGCAAATTATGGAGATAGTAAGATATTTGAAAACATGATTGACGTTCTACCTGTGAAAAGACTTGGAACTCCAGAGGAGGTTTGTGTCCATTATAGCTGCTTAATTTTACAACATTTCTTTGCATTATCATCATTATGTATTCAACAATAAGCTCCTGGCTGATAATAAGCCCAACTTTATCATCTTTTCATTAGAAATACTAACAAATGCTATACAGTTGTTTTATGATAAGCCAAACTCCTTATGCTTCAAACTAATTTGTGAGCTTGGACTTGTAGCTACAATATGTGGTAAATAAATTTTCATAATACTCTGATCAAAAGTTATGTATGAAATAGCTTTCACAAAGAGAGTAGCAAGACATTTTATAAAGAGATGAGATGAAAATATTCAGGTGGACAAAAACTTATTTGAAAAACTTTCTGTGTTATACATTTATAAAGAGTGGTATCACTTGACACATACAGTACACAAAAGGAATTCATGGTTTTGATTCAAACTTTTGGGTTTCAGATATCATCCTGTGTATGTTACCTGTTGTCACCTGCCGCTAGCCTTATTTCTGGAGAGACTGTCAAAGTAGATGGCGCTGCTAGTCTTTATCACACAAAGTGGGAGATCAGGGGTAATTAGTATTGTCAGTCTCTAATATACCTGGTTTTGAGCTAGCTTTCTAGTCTATTCAAGGATTAAACAAATAGGAAAAAGATCAGTTCTTTTTCAAAGCATGAGACAGATGAATTTAATAATCCTTATAAAAATTATATAGGCAAAGGTAGTTATTTTTTACAGATGTCTCACTAGGTCCAACTTCTGGGCCAAAACCAATCTGAGGCATATTATTCTGATGTTAGCACTTTGACATTAGTAAGGCAAATCCAATGACAAGTTAATGTCATAATAGTAGAATTTGCATTACATAATTTGTTAGTGCAATGAATGTGTTTCAAGGACATGATATCAACCAAGATGCGACATTAACAAAAATGATATTAATAGAAAAACAACATTAAAGGATGTGACATTAACAGAAGTTCATGGTTTATAATCATCACTATTGAGTGGGGCAAAGGTCGGAAATAAGTAGCAGCAGCAATCATTTTGTCATTCTGTTTCATATTTTAATACATTTCTGTCTGTCTTTTATACTTCAGATCACAAGAAACTTCCAGCATTCTCTTGGAAAGATTACAACCCAGATGATGAAGATAACGATGAACCAAAATCCAAACTATGAGTGTTCTTGTGTAATTTAATTAAAGATATCTGTGTAAAGTTGTGAGTGCAGAGTATCATGTGGTTTGTTAGTGATGGCAGCTGGTATCTATTGTAACCTTTTTTTCTTGTCAAATTAAATTAACTAAGAATTCATATTTCATCTATGATACCTCAGTAATGTAAATTTTGTTTTAAAAGTGATTGCTGATTGTCATTTGAAGACCATATAATTACATTGTACATGCTTTTGTGTATACATTTATTGATCAATATCAAGATAATTTCATGTGCAAAATTGTGAAAATTACAAGTTTTATTGATTAGTTTTCATATCAAAAACCTATGCAGTTCATTGTGTGTAATGTCACTATACATTTCTTATATATCTATACAGAATTATTAAGTATTCAGGTCACATCTTTCCACATAATGTACTTAAGGATTAAATATACCCCTATATACTAGATTATAAATAGGGAGTCTTATGATTTTCCATTGGATATAAAACTGATAAAATGAGTCTTCCAATTTTTCATTTTGACTGAACCTCTGGCAAGGTAAATAATGTAAACTGAAAAATTTTAGATGAGTTTCGTTACTCTCAAATGAAATGGAAACAAATGTAAGATTCTGTTTATCACAACGTACATAATTCTGTAAACATTTGTGAAAGTAGCATTTTATAAAGACCAAGTTTAATTTGGCAGTATTCAGACATCACAAGGCTTATGACACTATGTTGCAAAATCACAATTGAGTCGTTGGAAAACTTTACAACTCCGCTATATAGGTAAGTCATATTACATGTGTGTCATAAAAATTTATATACCATATATATGTAATGGGTTTTATAACACTGATTACAGAGAATACAATGTAAAATATTCATTATTGATCACATAATCTGCCTGGAATTCATCCATGTCATAATTTTGCTTATATTTCACTTTTTTAATATACCCTAGAGCGTTTTTCAATGGCTGCTTCAGTCTGAAATTGCTTGTGATGTTATAATATAGACAATTAGGAAATGAAAATAGTACAAAAAATGGTTGCTTCCATTGAATCCATTTTCACCTTGAACCAAGTCAAAATGTAACATTTCTGGGTTGTGTGATAAAAGAAATAAATTTTCAAATCTTTGTTTCATTTCCTTTGGGAGTTTTTATGAAACGCGCCTGAAAGTTTTAATCTATTGCTTAGCCTTGCAAAGGCTTGCAAAAACCAACACTTCTAATGCTTGTACCATAAAATCTGATATTATGAAATATAAACTTATTTAAACTTCTGTATCTGGCACTAAGTCCATGTCTGCATGTACGTTTTGTCAGGTATCAGTATCACTGCCATTTCATATAGCCAACATCGCCATAATGTTTCCTAGCTGGGCTCACTGCAGAATATACAGGTTAAGGTTTGGGTGGTCGAGTAGTGCAGTGGTAACACACTTGCTTTTCACTTAGCCATCCATGGTTCGATTCTCAGAACAGACTTGAAAAGGTATGCAGGGGTCACCTCCTCAAACACATGGATTTTCCTCAGGTTCTCTTGTTTCCTCCCACATTAAGAACTCACCCCGGCACAATTCAATACTCGGCAACAAGAATGATCAATATAAGCTTATAGCTTGTTTATATTTAAGGTAATCATCACATAGCAAATAGGATAAGTACTGGCACAACATTTTCATCATTGCCTTGCTCAAGTCAAAATCTGGTGTAGTTGGAAATGGGAGACTTCAGTCAATTCACTGGAACATGTTGTCATACTGTGATATTTGATTAAAGGTGTAGATATTGAAATATTGTGGTAACCAGATGTAGTTGTGATTCTGAAATAATATAATAATAGAAACACTGTATTAATGGAATGGAAGTCAGTCACTTAATGATAATCTTTGTTTTGTAGGGCAATACGTGTATGTTTTCAACAATGGAAACTTACAATGTATACCTGATCAGGATTTGTTCAGCTGTTCTGCTTTGAATGATCCAAATTCATTATGGTTTTACTAAAAGTTTATAACAAAAGGAATTTCTACAACAAAGCTTCATTTTCTTAAATTTCATCTTCAAGTTATTGCTTTCACGATTTTTATTCTATCTTTAGAAAAGAAACAGTACTAGTACATTTGTACTAATGAATATCTTTAGTGTCAAGTTCACAGCAGAGACTGAATTATTTACTATAAAGATATTTACAAATGGAAAGTTTGATCTATTGATTCAGGAAGCAAAGTATTTCATGGTTGTTCATATGTAATAAACTAATGTGTTATATAGTTTGATGTACAATATATATAATGATGTGTAACTAAATTTGTATGGAATGATAATAAACGAGAATGAAATATATGTATTGTTTGATGTAATTATTTTTGTACACAAAAAAATATTTAAATAATTCTGATCAGCATATCTGTATGTCTTGAGCACTATTTTGAGATAAATCTGATAGAAAATGCAGACATCAATATCAATAACTCTACAAAGTATGAAAAGCAAAATCAGGTTAACTTTATTTTCAATTCTTTAGAATTCATGAAAAATTCATCGAACACAAGACTGCAAATGTGATATCACTGACTTAAATATAGATATCTAAATCTGATGATATAGATCTTTCATCATTTACTGTCAATAATTACACATATACAATTTCATTTAATGATGAATTTCAAATTCTAATATTTGAAAATAATATCACAAACTTAAACTTTAAAAGAAAAAGTAGAATTTCCCACTATAATTAACGTCGGGTAGCAGTTTAAACTTTTTCAACAATTAACCAAAGCATCAATTGCAACAGAAATCAATAAAAGTATTTTTCATATCCCTAACTACCTGAATACCTGTATGGAGTTTGTTTACATAAGTATTTACCGGAAAATATCTTGCTGTTTTTTTTTTGCAGTATCAATTTAATTACAGTCAGCAGTGATACAGATGCAGTATTAAAATCAGCACTATCACTTACAATTTTAATTACAATATGACCAGCTCATATTTATTTATTTGAAAAAAAAATATTATGGACATAATAATCTTCAGATCATCATAACTTGTTTTTAAAAACTACGCAACTTTGATAACATTTTAATAACAATACATATTAACAATGAACCAACTACATTAAAATGCACAAATATAGGACATTCAGGCAGCAATAGAGAAGTTTTCACCATTTCTTTTCCAACTTTCAATAACATTTCTCTGAATTATTTATCAATGAAATTTCCTTCATCCAGATTTCTCTTAGAGAGTGTTTTCAACCAAATAAACACTATCCTCCCCCAACCCTGATGGTGTGTGGTACCTGTGTATGATCTGGTTTTAATTGAACCATTTATTTGAAGATTAATCCTAGAAACTCTTCGAATGATTGAAAAGAAAAAGGCCTTTACCTGAGAGACTTAATGGGACAACAACTACATCTTACGATCTTGTACATAAGGTCTGGTCCGACCCATAAAATCATTTAGAGCATGTTGCATGTATTTTGCCTAAATCTCTGATTTTGTATTTCTGAATTCGCCATCCTTAAAACAGATTTCTTTCCTATCAAAATCCACCACCTATCAATACCTCCTTTCTGTGTTTCTGGATTCATGAGACAAAAGTCATTGATTTGATATATCAAGAAAAATGCAAAAACTGAAGTGACCAGTTAAAATTTTATCAAACAAAATTTTGTTATAAAGTATACAATGAACAATTAATTATGTGTAAACAAAGAATCAAAGTGATAACACAGAATTATGAATTATACTGAAGTTGCACTCTAGAAATCATAAAATAATCCTATTCTAATAGGGTAGATACATTTCTCCCATGTATATTTTCATTCTTTTCTTTTTTTCTTATATAAAGAGTCAGCTCCTGAAAACAGGATTTTTTCAAAATCTTAAATTGGCTGTCAGAATCACCCAAAGTGGTCTTGAATATTTTCAATTAAAACATTTCCCTTCTAATACAAAGTAGACTAGAAAATGTAGCACAAAATTCAATCATGTAAAAATTATTAGTAAATTTTCATTGGACTACCAAAAATGTGTCTTATTTTGAGAAAATCACAGACATGGAGACTAGGTAGAAAAAATACATTTCTATCTATTCCATTAGTAAATTCAATGTCATATATTTAGTATTAAACTTATACATCATTGTTTTTGTTCTAAAATCAAGCATCCTTTCTCTCAGTTCTTGTATACAACAGTAGCTAAAATCTTGTCAATCAAACTTTGAAATGGGATTTTTTTAAAACATTGATATCAGTCACTATGTTAAAAGTATGTTTATTAAATTGTTGATATCATAAATATATGATATGTAATTAACCACAAATCCATGTCCAAATTGAATAGAAATGTACCTTACAAATAAGTCATTTGAGTTATGAAAATATTCCTGATTTCTAATTACATTATAACTAGCTGTACTTAATGCATAAAGTTACAGAAATTTTTGAAAATCCTGGTGAAACTTAACCTCTAGCTTTTTCTAGTAAGAAGCCAGATAACTAGATAAATCTATTAACAGAACCAATACAGTAGATAAATGTGAGTAACCGGGTATAGGCAAATCACACGGTCTACAAAATACAACACAGATAAGATACATTATAGGTCGGACTCCTTTCCTCTGGATTTATTTCTTTGATGTATAACTGTAACAGAAAAACAAAGATATATCCTGCACTGTCCTTACTGCTGTTTAACAAAAAAAAAAAAAAATCTTGAAAATCACATCAGAAATAAATTATCTCTCCAATGTAATGGTGATGTCTTTCAGTCTTTTATGAACAATGAATACAAGAACACTATTATTAAGTATTCATCATCTGTTCAGAGGATCAGATCTCACCTGAGAATAATCAGCTCTTGATAAGGAGGATTTTCAGGGGTTTTTCAAGTTCGTAAATTCATGAAATTTTTTAACGATCCATAGGATTATGCAGTTAAGTTCTTAATAAATATAAATAATAATTAAAACAATTAATTTAAATAATATACATGTAAAAATGTACTGAATAAAAACACAAAAATTAAAAAAAAAAAAAAACAGAATACCAGTACATATTTTAAGTTTGCTTAACAGCTGTAATAATCTTTTTTAACTTGAAAAAATGTGAAAAATTTATCAATAACTGCAAGCCAATGCATGGAGACATACCATACACTTTTACAATTATACAAATTCTATGTCAAGCACTACCACAATACATTATTTAAGTTTCAATTGACTTTAGAAGTGATATCTGTCGATTTTCTGCCAATTATAACGTGTCAGTTTTTCATTACAGTCCATAAGATGCAAATTTCTCAGCAAATTTTTTGCCAGTATCCAATTTAGAAAATGTTCATCTGTAATGATTTGTACTTCCAAACCTCTGGAACCATTATATGTATATCTGTCCTAAATTCATTTAACTCACTCCATCATAAACCATGGTTATTGCCTGCTTGGTGAGCCAATTGTATATGTTCATCTATATTGTGTAAAAAATAACTGCTGTGTAATCCTCATAGTCAGCAATAATCATCACATATTTATGTTTGTGAAAATAAAAATATGGTCGGCATAGAGAACTGCAAGAATATTGTGAGGCAATAAATTCTTCGCATTCCTCTATAACAATGACAAAGGGAAAGAATTATTATTGGGACATCAGACCTGATTTCAAAAATTTAATCTCCATCGTGTAAAGATATACTCTGAAGCAAATTGCTCTAGATAATGTGTGTCACAGCAATCAATGGGATATAACTCTGTAATGAAGTATATATTGTCTAGTTCAGCGGCATGTTCCACCTACCTAAAAGTTATTTACAATAATAAGCATTTGTCTTTGACAAAATGATGGACTGACTGCCAGATAGAGTGTAGACTTTTAGTCTCCCCTAGCATCACCAGTGAAGAAAGCACAATGTTTTAAAACTTAAACAGTTTGGGAAAAAATTAATGGAAAGAATAAAAGTTGAAAAATAAACCTACCCCCAAACTTGGTTTGGAGGACATACTAATAAATGACACATTTGATAATTTTTCACAAATACACTAATAATACATCATATATTAGAGACAGTTTCTTGGAAATGCATGTACTTGTTTTAAATGTTACTTATACAAGTAAATGATAAGTATAATCACTGCATTATAACACAGTTAATGTTCCATAACTTTAACTTCTATTCATTATTGAAGATTCATATTATATCAACACAAAGATTTGAGAAATGTTTTTTTTGTTTGTTTTTTGTTATCTATGTAACGATTCGTCTAAGAGTAAAAAGACTGATAGAAAATATCCAGGAAAGAAAATACTTAGAAGTAAAATCATAAACTGTTTCTTGCTTGAGACTGCAGGGTACTTTAACTTGAGATTTATCTCGCACATTTTCATCAAATAGTTTTGATTTAGAAATATTTAAATTCTGTTTCTCTGTACACTTTTCTGTGATTAATTACACTGATGAAGAGGTTCCATTGTGTTCTTCGAAAACAAAATCTTTTATCTCTGGATGATGCCATTTTTCTGAATATAATCTTTCAGAGACAAAGTCATACGGGTTATACTAATCTCTGGCTACCCGATGGGACCTGAAGGCTGTAGGACATGTTAGATCTCTCTGAACCACAAAGAACGACTGTTGATACAAAATCTCTCTGTGTTATTTGGCCCATCAGGGAAAACATGACCGAGGTGAGAATCGCACTGAAACAAAACCAATAATTACACAAGCTTAGCACAAACAGAAAACAGGACAAACTTTTATCTACAATGATATGGGCCGATAATAATGTCTTAATATGCTTATTGAGGGCTTTAACAGAAATTATAATACCAGGGTATGTATTTAACCTGAATATTTCAATCTATCACATATTTATCTTTTCATTCATCATATAGGTAATATAAATTGAAATCAATTCTAAGACTGAAATTTAAGATTATTGCTCTAAATGCTTAATAAATATATTCACATGAAAGACTTACAAATATCCAAACTATTACTCAAATAATTGATTACAGATTCAATAGCAATTAAATGCATCAGTCATTACCACTGACTATCAGATTGCACATTTCATGCAAATGTCTATATGTACAGAATAATCATATTTTATGTTCTTTCTATACTTACCTTCTATTATATTCTATGATACCGGTGATCATGACCTTTATTTTTGAAGAAGTATGACCTTTGACCTCACCTTCATATCTGGTAAAGATTTTCTGTACATACATCTACGGTAATGATCCTTGACCTGACCTACATCTCTGCACATATATTTCTGTATAGCTTTATTTGTATATGCACATATATCAGCAATTACAACCTTTGACCTGACATAAATATATATTTGTGTACACAAGAACTGATTGTTATGACCTTAGAAATGACCTACCTTTTTACAGATGACCTCTGTCCTGATCATACTATCACTGTTGTCGGGTCGTCTGAGAACATTTGAGCTTCTCTCATCTCCGGAATTTTTGCTGTATACTGCAGTAAATGAAGGCCACCCTGTACCCGAATCATACTTTGTTTCTGAGCTGGAATAGATTAATCAATATATAAATGCTTTGATATGTACATTGTACAAGAAAAACCTTTTACAGGGATATTCCATACATGTTAGGATTTCATAAGATGCTTTTGAAGAAAATAGTACTAAATTTACTTCTGTTCTCCTGGAAATCGTACACCTCAATCAATTTATCAATTAAATAAACATATGATATATAATTTGTGGAAATTCCTTATGATCAAGTAATTCTTCAGTTCTGGATTTCCTATATTGGCTGAGACTATTTCCATCAATTGTGTCTGTCCAAACTGACCAAAGAAGAGATATTTTGATGTCATTAGAATGAGTTCTTAAAAGGTACAGAACAGCCAGAAATTTTGCAACTTGGGTGGAATATCCCTTTACAAGTATTTCATTCCAATGTATATTTTGTTTAGATCTTCATGTGCCATGGTGAATAGTAAAAATTTTGAAAGATGAGATTACTTCAGAATGCGTTCCTCTGCTTCTGATTTGCCTTTTCAAGCACAAGAGCTGGAGAGCCCCTCCAAAGATGTCTAGGGTCAACCTTTGAAAATGACATTAATTCACCTATGGTTGATCAAAAAGTAACTTTCTACAAGGGCATCATATAGATGAATAGGTCAAATGCAACTATACACTAGTTGGCAGTGTACATGTTCAGAACACTGGTTCAAATACCTTCGAAAATAATTTTTCATGAAAACAAACTTTATAAAGAGCCTGTACTCCAGAAAACAACAGACTAAAATTATAAATGTTGTATTTATAATTCTGGATTTTTGAAAAGTAGTTTGGAGACTACCTTTAAAACACAAATTAAACATAACTATCATTTGTTTTGGAAAGATATGAACATTTTCATAAATGAACGTTAACAATCCATATATGATTCTCAGCCTCATTTGAGACATGTAATCACAAAATGAATGCACATGTACAGTTAATGATACCTCAACAAAACAGGTAGCATATCACCATGCAATCAACCTTTCATGCCTAAGCCTTATGGCTATAGATAAATAAATTTTTTTTCACTGCCTAAATGGAGTCTGGCTATGCTGGATGGTGTGCAGTAGCAAATATCCATTTACCTGAACAGCTCTGCCCCATAGCAAATATCCATTTACCTGAACAGCTCTGCCCCACAACAAATACAGTCATACATTCCCTTCTCAAACTTATTTACATAGGCACCTGTGAAAGGCTGAAACAGAACAAACATATTTGTATAGACACACGTAAAACTAATTGCTAAAGCAGAATAAATGTCTATATCTGGATTGGATGCATTTCTTATTACTATATATCTGCTTGTAAAATATTCATCGGAAGACTAAAACAGAAATGCATTTTCAGATCTGGAAAAAGTATGCAGAAAAATTGAGCTAATAGAAAAGATCACTGAACCATTAAATAAGTAGACTCCCATCAATGGATAAAGAAATATTCAAGGAAATAACACTATGGCAGCTGTAACTGGGTTGGAAATTACCCTTTTTATCATATCTACATATAATGCTTCTAGAAAAAATATATTAATGCAAAACATACCGGTTCTGTGTTTTTTTCCCTACACACCAAGTACTGCTCTGGTGTCAGACGTTCCTCCCAGTGTTTATTGGAAAATGTACGTGGGTCTTTAGGATCAAACTGTGCTGATGGAGAACCCCCTGAGATAAAGAAAATGAATTCATTATTTTATGATTTTCTTTTATATTTTTTGTGCCACATACACTTGGAATTATCTGTTTTCAGTTTCACAATTTACTACTGTATTGCATGGTTAACATTTAAATGTATATTTGTATACATAACTGACAACTGATCACAAAAAAGCTATTACCACCAGCTTAGAAGAAGACCTGGCACTGAATGACACTGACTCAGAGTCAGACACTCATATCACTGAACCAACATCGTATAGTTATGAACACTACAAGTATGTACATGAGGACTCTACTTCGGTCCTGGACTCTACCTTTTGTCTAAATGAACTATCCTATTATCTGAGAGACAGAACTATATCTGTGTATAGTATATATGGCATCTCTGTAAAAATAACAAACCCTCTGTGAGGTTAATTCTTAAGAACATATTTTCAACAACTTTTAATTCTTATTACCTTTTGACCGTACTTTAGCGGGTGATTCTTAATAATTGTATATCACATGATTAGAACAATCAACTTCATGTACCATATTTTACACTTACGCTCTCCGATTTTCTATGTTGATTTGTTTTGAAGGCGGTTGGCTTAGCCAACCGAAACATGTAAACCAATAAAATCTAAATCCACGGAATCCCAGGCGTTGATGCTCCATCCTTCATCTTGTTGTACCTATCGTCTATGGAGCTCTGCTAGAATACTCGTATATCCACTAGGATTCCTGCTCCGAAATATCTATCGATCAGTACCAACCACGGGACATTGGACCCCTCAGCCCCTTTTTTACTTTACACTTTGTATACATTTGTATATTACAGTAAACTCAGTGGAGAAATGTTTAACAACTTGTCATGTTTTATAAATATAGCTTGACATTTTTTTTCAAAATCAATTTTAGCTGTAAATTGAATACACCTACAATTACTGGGTTAGACATTTTTCCCTTTAGTATTGACACAGATGTTTGGATTACTGGCAAAGTAATATGAGAAGAATATTACAAATTTGCCAAAGAGATTTTTCAGATAAAATGTGTAAACATGTTTGGAAACATAATAACAATTTACCAATCAAAATGCCACTAAGCACAATTTGATGTAATTATGATAAAACCTCCCAAGCAAAAGTTTAAAGTGAGGTCCATTTTGAACTTAGAGGTAGGATATCTCCAGACAAAATCAAATATGCACAAAAAAAGGAGCAAATGACATTCACATTTTTTAAATATATCTATGGTTAAAAATAGCATCCTAGCATAAACAATGTCACTAAGCAATGCGGATATGACCTGAAAGACAGTTTCTGTCACTCAAGTTCATTAAATCAATTAAAATTATTACTTTTGGATCCTTATGGTAAGCTTTGAGGGGAGCATGTTACAGGTCAGGTTGCAAAGTTGTGATGCCTGAGGTAACCCTAAATAGTATCATTCATCACTCTTGGCGAAAATAACAATAACATGTAATGTTCAAGCCTTATAACTTTCAAAGAGATTGGTGAATAACTGTGAATGCTGACAAATGCAAAGTGTAACAACACTTTGAAGTTATCAAATAAAATTGCCATTCAGGAAAATGCATTATAATGCCATTACTATACAACTTGTTCAGATCACGACTAATCAAAAAGTGACAAAGCTGGTATCTTAACAGCAAACAGTTTGTGATCATTACACAATATAATGCTATAGTGTAGCACCACTATGCTCCATGAAATACTTCCACAACTGCATAATTAAAATTCAATACATATCCTTTTTAATTGACCTATCGGTGTAAGGTTATAGCTAGCTTATTACTAATTTTGTCAGCTAATATTGTCGTATTTTGTACTGATAACTCCCTTACTTGGTTGCACATGTAAAATAACTGGCATAAAACTTAAAAAAGTCTCCAAAGTGTCAGCTTCAACTACTAAATAATACGCAACCATTATTCACAATCAACAAAAAATGTAGTTTACACAGTAAAATACCTGTTTGTCCCTTTTTTCATTCAATATTTTAAAACTCTCTATATAGGTCACACCAACCCAGTGGGAACACTCCATCCAACCAAGCATTTATACCATAATTACAAATGACATAATCCTGTCCCAGTGACCTATTTTTTCAGTTAGAACAAACGTGTACAAAAATTAAATTAAAAGATATTAAGATAATGACATGTTTCAATACGTGACTACGACTATAAAATCACCGAGCAGGCAAAACAAAAATACCCAGTTGGGATTCGGTGGTTTGTTTACGTGACCGAATTATCAATAACCCAAACAATTGCAAGAAAGACGTCTGACAGCAAACGTTGACTTTGTAAATCAACACCTTTTTCAAGCTAGATAATAACAACCGTGCTCTCAAATAATACGCTTGATCGAATAAAATAGATTACGGTAGACAGTCAAAGAAAAACAAACAGAAGAATGTGTGAAAACGACATATGAGCATGGAATTTCTCCTTCAGTGACCCTTGTAAACTCACATCTCACGGCCTGTTGAACCGCTGGAAAAATCGTTTTCGATGAATGTAGAGATGTTGCTCTAGATGCGTGCAGTCTGGATGTGCATGCTATACGACATAAACTGCGCAACATTTTCACCGAGGAGGACATGTTGTGTATAGCCTGTGCTTTTCACTTGGCCTAGACTGTTTGCAGACCTCAGGAAAATTTCTCTATGTGCCGTCGGATGACGTCATGGAATCTCCCCGCGGAAATTTCTCGAGCAAAAGGGAAATTCCCTCTTCGCTAAAAATAGCGGAGAATCCATCTAAATACGTCCCCGATCTCATAAACGGAATACCACTGTATCCATAACTCTATGCATGTATAGCAAAAATCTGTATTTTTAATGACATTAAATCAATTAGACATGATAGCAATAAAAGAGTAATAAAACGAAAGACGGATGGCCTAAATGCAATCAAACTGTAATGTCCTACTGAAACGTTGAAAATAATCATTACAGTTACGTGTCGCTTAAAATAGATGCCGCATAAAACTTTAAACAACAACAGTTAGAAATTCATAATTATTGATAAGTGATATAAATAGAACATCTTATTTCACTTTGTTTATACCCAAGATTAATCACGTTTAATGTGTTTGAGAAACAAATAACTCTTTAGCATTGAATATAAACATAAAATGTAGTAAAATGTGATAGTGTTGAAAGTAGGAACACGGAGTAAAATCATGGAAAAATCCTATGACATGTCAACATGTAAATATATTCTGTCTAAGTGTTTTATGAAACGTTTTTAGCAATGCTAGTCATTTGTCACTAGCTAGCTAATTGTCTGATGAAGGTGACCTTGTAGTCATCGAAACGTCACACTCTGATCTTCTTCTGGTTGTGTTATAAGAACTTGTATTCTATTGACATTACCAACCTACAGCAAATGATAAAAAGAGATAGTGAGATTTTCCTCTGCTGACATATTTCGTTTCATTTTATTGAGACCAAATGTTTCTAAAATTACATTTAAAAGACAGTCTTCTTTAGGAAAAGTGCATATCGTTTTCAATAGCATGCAAACCTAAGATTCTTCAACTACGGGTTAGTTCCAAGTCATACTTAGCCTGTACTCGCCTTAGATTGACGTCCCTTATGTTATATAAAATGGTTTCAGCCATAAATAGTTTATCTTCATTAAGAGGTCGAACTTTATCAGAAAATAACTGGTTAAATTGTGTTATTATCACATATAGCGTCATATTTCAAATAATTTAAAATAAGTTCAAACCGCACCATTTATATATCCCTTGGGTATGTCACCTATGAATGTATACTAGTTCACCTGTCGATGCTAATATTTCCAGCATCGATTTTACCATAATCTTTCACCGCCCGCTCCGAAATGCATATTTGTGGCGCGATATTGATTTCTTGAGCCAGTGACCAATCAATAGACACCAGTTGTTTTAATTACTAATGAGCATGCGCGACATTGGTAAATTTCGTTTCATGGCAGTGTCGTCTATTTTGAATTTTAGAAAGTTTGAGCGAGCAAGTGGAGGCAATGACTCATTGAAAATAACTTGTCGTATGCATTTATTTCAAAATTATCCTACCAAAGTAAATACGGTTTATTGAATTCTATATATTTCTGTTTGCAGTTAAAAAATGCAAAAAAGATAGTGATATCCTCATCAAAACGAGTTCATTGAGTTTTCCCTTTCTGCAGTGGTCAATATTGTAACAAAGTCGCCACTGAACACATGTTTGGCAGGAAGATATAACACTTTTATTACCTCCACACCTAAGAGTTACACAAGGTTGCACACAATTATTATCTGTATGGTATCGGGGTTTGATGAGTCACTCTCTGACAACATCTCTGGCAAGATTACACTGTCAAAAACTAAAGCATTGATGTGGAAAGTGGGTCGAAGCGGTCTACCAGGGAAGTACAAGACCTGGATTTACCAACATGGAATCCTGCCTAGACTGATGTGACTGCTGCTGATATACGTAGTTCCAGTAGCAAGTGTTGAAGTCAGTGAGCAGCTACTTGAGAAGACAGGTAGAAGTCCCACCAGAATTTACTTCAGTTGGACTGTATGGAAAGCCATCCCAACTTCAACTACGAATTTCATCGGTCGTCGAAAAATTCAAAGTGGCCAAGTGTCGGCTCGTCATGACGCTGAGGGATTCATAAATTCTAGAGTCAGTGGAGCAGACATTCAGACAAGAACAGGAAGGGAATGGTCAGCATCAACATCAGTAGACCACGCTGAAGTCATGCTACCCGGTAATGATTACGAGATGCGGTTGGCAAGACCTGTACCGGAAGACAAGGCAATGGAAGAATACAACAACAGAGCGACAAGGGGTGGTTCGGAATGAAGAAAGACGGGTAGAAGAAGACCATCGAAGAGCGAAGGCAGGATCGCCTTTCTGTTGAGAGCAGTCTGCAACATACTGATGAATCCTACGAACCTTTATCAATGGAGACTAATTGACGACCCAAATGTATGGAAAGCAAGAGAAAATGTCGCAAATACTGTCAGGATGTCAGGTGTCATTGACACAGGGACGGTTTAGGTGGCGACACGACAAAGTTCTGCGTGAGTTGGCAGAAGTTCTGGATATGGAGAAGAGAAAGAAACGGCCTTGGGTAAAAACAGAAAAAGAAAAGTTCGTGAAGTAAGGTGAACTAACTGGAGAAAAGGATTGGCTAGGACATCGCTGGTGGACAGAGCAAGGGACTGGGAGCTGCAAGTGGACGTTGATGGGAGTCTTTTATTCTTTTCCATTGTGGACACAACGCTGCGGCCGTTATGGCCCTCAAATCAACAGTCAAAAGCACTCAATGTAATGGAGCTGACAGCGCCATGGAAGGAGAACTGTGCCATGTCCATATCAATATTTAACTATGCGTAAAATAACATTGTCCATCAAAACTTTTGGTGCTTTTCTTTAACTTTCCAATGATCATCTAGTAAAATTTCAAACTGTTTGACTGTAGTTACATTTATGACATGCTGGGGCAAGCAGTTCCAGTAAAGTTTACACGTCTATGCGGGAGTATTTCTTATGGAGTTTTTGAAAATATCCACTTGATGTATTTCCAGAAACCCGTATAAATTCTTTATAACTTTAAAGTTCTTGATCATATCTCCTCTCATCCTTCTATGTTTCAAGGTCGGAAGATCCAGTCTTTCCGAGCGTTCTTCGTAAGATACATTCTTAAAACCGGGTATTACTTTTGTTGTCCTCCTTAGTACGTTTACAGTTATATCTATTTCCTTGACTTGGTGCGGGTTCCAAACACGAGCTGCGTATTAAAATGGGTTATTAGCAAACGGACGTATTGTTCATTACATCTGCATCGTATGTCCGTGTTTGGTATCGCATATGGTACCATCTAACGAAGAAATTGTTCAGGATATTGTGCAAAAGGCGTAAATATATTTACATTAAACTTAAGCGCTGCTACGACTCTGAATCATTTAAGTATTTAAACGACACTGATCTTGTGATTTTTTTGACGTTTAGTCTGTTTTGTACTGAAACGATCTGGCAGTGGAAAAGAGTAACTGAAGGGAAATCTCTGGGTAATTTGCTTTTTAAAAATACCAGTTTTGTAGTATGTTAAATGAATTTTATGAACGGATATGCTATTTATGTGGTGGTATATGTCTGTCAAATCCTCCTCGCTCTGTTGCTTGCCACTGTCTACCTCATTATGTCAGGACTTGTAAAATTGACATCTGTAACGTTTCAACTGTTGAAACATATTATGCTAAGATAAAATTGTTTCAAAGTATATCCATGCAGTTGGATACATGTGTAGCAGTATGAAGATATTTTAGGTTAAGAGGTTGTGGCTAGGTTGTGTTGGACCTGGACGGTAGATACAGATCGTCGTCAGCAGGCATGACAACAGCCTGTGGAAACTGGGTTTTTTATATATTTTTTTTTTTTTTTTGTGCTACTACATTGAAATTTTTATTTTTAATAATTTTTATGATATGACATGTCTTAGAGTATGATGTGCATACCTTCCACGAGCTGAGTATTTGACACTTTTCTTTACGTTTTTGCTTGCATTGCCTGTGTGTATGCAAATGTTGTAGAATTACTCTCACATTCTATCATCCTTTTTTAACGGGACTTGAAGCGATGAAAGTAAAACTCTGGTCCTATAATGATTGAAGAAAATAAGTAACCTGCACCTATGTCAGTATTTATACAATAATTGTGGCTAGAAATAAGTTTTTCACATATATGTTGCACATAATGGTGGACTAATTTAGTGTGTGTTCTGTGAGACCATGCTTCCAACATCATCTTTTATAATGCTATACATCATTATCTATAACTACGATAGCACAGAAACACTAATACCCAAACCAGACCATGTTACTATTCTTGCTTCTCTTATGATCAAAGCATTCAAACTACTGATAGGGATATTGATGTCACAATAATTGCCAGGCTACTGAAGTGAGCAATAAGGGTTTCATGATTAATAAATATGTTTAAGATCTTTAACATGGAGCTTTTCAAGATACATATGGTTTTGTTTACATGTAAACAGTCAAAGTCAGTGCAAAACAAGAAAGATGGCAAGAAAGAGTTTTGAGGAAAAGGCTGTTGTTTATATATTCGTGTGTGACAGTTCATGGATGTATGCAGTGAGACTGTCTTATCTATAATTCTCCACTAGGTTTTGTGACTCTACAATAGAGTGATTATGTCCAAATGTACATGTTATGATGTTCAGCAATGCCGGACATGGTGATTATAGTTAGATGGGTGACTACATGGCAAATCTCAAGTGCACCTTTACTTGAAATAGGCCTAGAAACCTCTAGGATGTCCTAGTTTAGATAGCATAGGAGCTTATTGAGAAGATGGTATTAAAACAGGCCTGGTGTCGTCTAGGGTTCCTTATCTCAGACAGCATAGGAACTTATTGGTATGGTGGTATTGAAACAGGCCTGGTGTCGTGTAGGGTTCCTTACCTCGGACAGCATAGGAACTTATTGGTATGGTGGTATTAAAACAGGCTTGGTATCATCTAAGATGCAGTAGCTCACTCAGCAAAGGAACTTATTGAGAAGGCACAACATTCAAGGATACATTTTGGAGACTGGAGATTATAACAGTATTGAGGCGGTATTGTTGTATTGCTATATCTACAAGAGAAACATTCTAGATGCCATGTTGAACCTGTGAGAGATTTATCAAGAAGCTATCTTCAACAAAAGGAATAAAGTGATAGTCCCTCAACATAGATAGTTTCATAACTTGTAGTTCTTACTTAATTGCTGTGGTTGAGTATCAGAACTGTCTGTATCCATGTACTAAAGCTACCAAAGTCTAGCGCGATCAGTAGTTGAATGAGTGACTATATGTGCTTGGCATACCTTCATAGCATGTTATTGTTACACCTTTTGAAGGAATGTTTGCCTATATTGAGGTTGAACTAATATTTGATTTTAAAGTAGAGTAATATGTTACGATACCAGATAACGTAATGTATGATCTCTATTTGGAAATTGTAACCATATCATATCAAAAATGCTGTTTTACTTAAATCAGATATTTGTTGATACATGTATTCATAAGTTTGCTTTCTTGTTACCAGGCAATAGAATTGTTTGGTGTTCCCCATCATTTCATTTTTGATGTTTCAGGCTACACACAACATTACAGTAGTTCGGATCATCAACAATATCCTTATTACAACTGCATGACTACAGAACAGTTGAGGAATAGAGAAGATTCCATTTTAGTGTTACAGATGTGCATAGCATTGTTGTGTCATGTCCCTTCTGGTGAGTGTTTACATGAGATGTTTAGTGATTTCAAATACAACATTCACAATTGTTCTTCAAATTTATTTCCCTTTATTTGAGAAGAAAAAGAAACTTTGCAAATTTATTTCTAAATTCAGGATGGTCTTGATCAAGATGGCCATATGAATTTTAATGGTAGCTGGTTTAAATGAAACATGTATACATGGACAAAATAAGATAATTTAAGACTAATTGCACATATTTGTTGCTTATGTATAATGCTATAAATGTTGTCGATTTTTATACATTCAGATTGCTATAATGAGTGAATCTATTTAACATAACTGTGATTGCTCATGTAGAAACATGGAGTTTGTGTGAATGAAAGTTACTCAAACTTACATTGGTTATGAAATTACATAATGTGTGTTTTGTGTGAATACAAGTTACTTTTATAATATTGTAATGAAGTATATAATACATGTGGTAGTGTAGTTAATGAGCAATTATATATTGCATTTATAAGTTAGTTTCTTGTATTGTTTATACTTGACTTTAAGAGCTGAGATGAAAAAAATGATTACAGTAGTTTTGTACTGATAAATATATTTCCCTATTTATTACTTAAATGCATTGTAATACTTCAATCAGTTCAAAGGAAAAATCACCTCATGCAAAATTATGAAAACTGAAGTTATTACATTTCGATTTAACAACAATAAACCCAAGACAATATTTACAATAAATGTGTGAAATTGTTATGTTTATTTAGAGTGAAAACTTATGCTACCTGCTATATATAGCATTTTGAAGTATAGAAAGGGAAAATGGCCCCAGTTACATGTTTACATTGAATAATTTTTTCATAATAGTGTGTTATAGACAGAATCTGAAAAATATGAATAAACAGATGCTTGATTATTGATAAATTAACTCATGGATAAAACGATGTGAACCTACATCTGCATGTATTATTGTGACAATTACAAATATGTACTGTATTCCATGATACAAAACTCCAACAGGTTTGAAACACTTGTGTAGAGCTCCAACAAGCAGTATTTTTGTGGTGCTGGAGAGTTTGACTGATTGGAGTGAATTACTACAGATGACATTACATAAACACCCACAGGATGACTTTGTATAGTTAATTTACAGAATATTGTTATAATTAAAATTATTCATATTCAGAAATTTTTGTTCATTTACAGGTTAAAATTTAAAATGTGAGTGTTATACAGACTTTTTTTATGGATCTTTATGTAGGTGTAGAATTGGATGTACATATGTATAAGTTGAATAAAACAATACTTCTTTCAGTAGATCATCAGTCTTGAATAATCAAAGTTGTTATATAGATGTCAAAGTTCTGGTTATATTGTGTTCTATCATTTGTCATTCATTTTTAGGAGCCACCTGACATTTTGCAGATACTCTAAATGTATGCTGTTATATTTCCATGCATTTCCTTGAATCTTCCATCAAAAATCTATTTTCATTTGTTTTTAGAAATTTAAACCCATTTTTTTTCCATGAAAAGTTTGTTGGAAAGAATTACTTTGATCTTGTATGATTTGAGATAATAAAAAAAAGAAAATATGACATTTTTTAAGTAAATGTTTTGAAATTTTCAGGCTTTATCTCCTGTACATAGGGAAATGTTATGGAGCCATAAGTTGATCTAGAATTGAGTACTATATGTATTGTATGTTTTGCTCAAATATGTAAAAAGATATTAACATTAAGAAAATACCAACATGGCAAAATAGTCATAATTCAAACTTAAGTTCCATAAAATTAGGGCAAAATATGAACAAAAAAAAGATTTACACAGGGACTCCTGTGTAAATACAAGGAGAATAAGACCAGGTGTCCTGGAAGAGTAAGGGTCTTCTGCTTCTTCGACGACACTCACCATGTAAAGCTTGGTCAATCCAAGTAAGTAATGTTGCATTCTCAAATGAGAAAAGGTATACAACAATGGATCCAACAGGCAAACTTAACGAGTGTCAGATACATTCAGAAAATAGAATATTTCTCAATGAGATCACTATAGCGACTTTAAAACTTCCCCATAATTTTCATCAACTTCCACTTTTTGAACACTTGTGTTACCAGTTTGTCAGTCAGTTGACGGCTTCTTGCACGAAAATGTGAATACCACAGGTTGAAGTTGCATGGATATTGCTATCCAGAAATGGAAAATTCACAATATGGAAATTGAAATCATCACATTTATCATACAGCTTGATAGAAAGCTGTCCATGGTTTTTTCATGTAGGAAAAGATTGAGATAAGCAGCTGATGCAGAAGAGTCTGTCGTATCTATGGTTTCAAGTTCTGGTGGAAATATACGATGGACATAGTCAATAATAATTATAATTTCTTGTTATTTAAAGACAAGACATCATAATATACCTGAAGGTGAAATTAAACAACTTTGCAAGGTATTTGTGAACTGTTTTGATAAGTTCTTCAATAAATTCAGCCTCGTATGAAAACTAAAACAAGTCGGCCAACAGAAGGGTGCAGTAAGTTCCCATAGGTATGCCAATAGTCTGTTGGAAGATCATGCCACCAAATTCGACAAAGATGTTGCCAAGCCAAATTTTGATAATTTCTATGACTTCATCGTCTGTTTATTTTTTTTGTATTTGGATATATATTTTACGAAATATGCTACAGTATAGTTCACAACCATATATTTTGGAGAAGAAAGCTCTCACAACAGTTTAGAATGGGGTTTGGTGGTGTACAGGGTTGAAAAATCAAACGTTCTTTAAGAAGAAATGTTTTTTAGAAAGGATGTTGAAGGATGGTCAAAAGCTCTTTGGAGTTTTCCAAAATCCACATACTATTAATTCCACTTCTTGAGTAAACAGTATCACAATAAGACTGTAGCCCAGATTTGATAGTTCTTGACATTTAGTAATTCTAGTTCTCATTCTAGTTACAAGGATTTCTGCACCATGATGCCTATAGAATATGTGATTTGGTTTGGTATTACTTTCATGAATAATTGGGCTATTCTGTGGAAGATTTTCCTGATGAAGAAATTTTAACTGCAATCTCAGTTCCAGATGTAAAATTTCTCATAACTTTTATTAACTTTCTCCTATGAAACACAATGCCCAGATTAATGTTGGTCAACTTTTAACAGGTTTGGGTAAACAAGTTAATTACTGTATGTGCAATTTTTTCTACAAATGTTTCCTACTTTTTCCTTTAGAGCATATGTATGTATCTGAAAATTCATTGTTTTCATTAGATATTCTCTTGAGATCAGAAACTCTTACTATTGTTTGAACAACATAGTTATTAAAGTATCATATTCCTTTTGGTATCAGCTTTTGTATTGAAAATATGACCAATTTGATACCTCTGCTAAGTTGTAGTAAGGAACAGCAGGTTTGATTTGAAAAAAATAATATTTCACCCATAATATTCTGATATTTTAAAATGTTGCTGCTTCCAATTAACAATTATATTAAAATTTTTCTAGATGATATATATTGTAAAAGTACCATTTTTTACAGCTTTATGAATCCTCATAAATGAATTTTCACTGAAGATCAACTACAAATGTTAACATTAAAGATATATATTAAGTAGTATTTTTTTACTCACTTGGAAACTCTAAATTTTAATTTACATGTATAACACAGCAGTCTTAGTTTATTAATTGTAGTACAACCTAATCCTTCTTACTTAATTATATTTTGGCTGTGGTTCTCTGTAATTTTAATTCCATCTAAGGAGGAAACTTATGTTATGTAAAAATTGATAATGTTTGTAAAGTAGGTATGTTTTCTTTGCACCTCTTATCAGCAAAATTTACATTTGATTTATCATATATTTTTTAAATTTAGTGATTGGTAGTTTAGTTCTAGCTTTATTGTTAATGTGTTGTATAAATCAACTAAAAATATTGTTCCTGCTTCTCTTTTTAAATCGTCCTACATCTGTGGTCCGTCTGTCCGTTAACAATTTCAATATTCAAAATCAGACCTTGTAGTATTTTGACACTATGTATAATGCAAAATAATAATCAGATCACATTTTCACCTCACCATCATTTAAATTGTCCAATGTCTGTGGTCCGTTGTCTGTCCGTCCTTTGTCAGTTTGTCTGTCTATCAATACACAATATTTGTTTTACTATTTTGCTATTTCTTGAAAATTACTGGATGGATCGCTCTCAAATTTCATATGTTTGTTCCCTTTGGTCTCTAGTTGTGCTCATTTCATTTTTTGGACTGATCCGAAAAAACAAAATTGCCCCAAAGCGACCATCTTGGATTTGGCATGTATAGATTATCATTGTCATTTCTGCATGAATGTTCAAATTTCTTATTATTAAAAGCAAAAAAATGAGAAGAGAAAAGAAGGGGAAAGATCCAACTTTCATAGAGAAAATAAAGATCAAACAATGGAGGGTGCCAAGATCCCTCTTGGATCTCCAGTATAATTCCCATTTTGGGTCGGGGAAATCTTTTATATGAGAAATACTTGAAGGAGTTATAATTATATGATACCTAGAAATGATTACAATTATTTTGTACTTTACACAAAGTATGAGTTTCTTATCACTACAAAGTAGTATATACATGTACATTGCTTGAAAATTGATTATATTAAACACATCACAAGGCTATATTATTTTCAAATTATTGCATATTACAAACTTATAACACATGTACTCATTATTAGGATCTTTATTTACTTTTGAGTTGAGATAGGTAACTATGATGTTATGGAATATACACTAGCTTCATAATGATATTCTGTTTATACAGCAGCAATGCACATGTGCCAGTTCGAAAAGCAAGGAGTCGCCTACATCTGTGCCTTATAGTCGCAAACACACAAACACATCTGAGGTAAGTTTTTCCTTTTTTCAACTGTAATTGCATTAATATGTCCCTGATAACTCTACACTAAAGAAAATGTTTGAAGTAATCTATTACCTTTTTGATCGCCTTTTTATTTATTAAAGTTTTTACGGTTTAAACAATTCTTAACCATAATATTAAAAAACATGTATAATGAATAAACATGTAAGGCCATCTTGAAGCACCATTACTCTGTACTTGGTAGTTTTTCTGTGACAATTATTAAAAATTTTGTGACATACATGTGTATTTTAGGTCACCAAAGAAAAAGTCTCATGGTAACCTATTATGATCACCTTTTGTCTGGCTTTGTGTCCATGAACTTTTAAGCTTTTTGACTTCTCAAAAATCTATGAACAAATTTCAATAAGATTTTACAGAAACCTTCCTTGGCTAAAGATGAAGTAAAGTAATGAATGATATCAACCCCACCCACCAAGGGCTTGAGTGGGGACCAAAGGGTCAAATTGACTCAAATTTTAAAAATCTTTTCAACACCCAGATATGATAGAATCGAATGCTCTTTATGGACAAAATTGTCTTAGGTGCTTTACCAAAATTGTGAATTTTATGACTCCAGTATCTCACATTTCACTCCTTAGAAAAGGGAAAGTTTCCTATAGTTTGTATAGCAAAAGCAGATTTTTGAGCAAGCATGTAATTTGTTTAAAGAATTTGATTACTTAGTAAGAATTAGCAGTATAGCATAACAATTTTGATGATATGCATATATTGACCCTGGCTGACTACCAAGGGATTAAAACATAGCACATACTACCATTAATGTTACCATTTCTTATTCAATTCAATTTTGCTAACCTCAGGTGATTGTCAAGGCCACTAGGCTTCTTGTTGATAGTGTATGCATGGATTCAGTAGAAAGAAACCATCTATATGTCACAGAAAATTATTTTTCATGATCCGAGGATTGTTGTGTTTTCTGCTAGAAAACATCAATGCTATGAAATAGTCAAGTGCTATGAAGAGCTGATGGAGCATGTTTGTAAAATGTGTCATTTGGTTTAATTCATACATATGCATTACCTTTTTGACATGAAATATAATCAGAATATGTTCAGTTTGGGAGCAGGTATAAGATAAGACAAGGCTGTATGAATAGCTTTTGATATATCTTGATATTGTATTTTAGTTAAATATATCATAATACCATTCAGTAAAAAAGAAAATCTATCATCCTGTCAGTAACATTGACTTTAGGCTTGAGTCATTTCCTTTCTGTGCAACTGAAAAGAAGTGTTAATAACGTGGAATATTACATAATGCAGTGGTACATATTTGAATTCTGGAAATACATACATGACTTTTTATATCAATTATCCTGATTCGAAGCCAGACCCTGTAGTATTTGTATAATGCAAAATGATAATCAGATCACATTTTTAGCGCACCATCATCAGATGGTATGCTGTCCCAGATTTATATTGGACTTCTCATACAATTTATTGTTATTGGAAGTCAAATATAGGTATACGGCATCTTAATTGGCAAAAATGCTTTTAATGTTATTATCGGTTTTGTTTTAATATTTTAGTTTTTCATTGCATGCTTTGTGTCAATCTGTAGATGGGTATTTTAACATCTTTACTGATCTGGAATTATACTATGATTTTAGCAGTAAAATCTATTTTGGAGTGAGTATGGCATTATTCATTTTACATATATTTTGTGTCAATTTTGTTGTTGTTTGTGGGATAACACAAAAGCAATGTGCAGTAGCTGTGTACAATTTTGTCACATTCATTTGAACTAGTATAAACACACATTACTTATACAAAGGATATATAATGATTACAACTGATGAAATACATTGTAGTTTTTAAATTGTATATAGTTTGCGATTTTTGTATGAATTTGTTATTTTCTGAATAAAAATCTTTCCTTTAATAAGTTTGTTTTTACACTATATATATCAATAAGTGTTTTAGAAAATCTTATTGAATATATCTAATTTTAATTATTTCAAAAGTGTGGTGGAATAGAGAATAGGAACTTTTTATGAATATGACATATATATATGTAAAAATAAAAGGCCAACAAGGCAAATAAACTTGATTATTGCTAATGTTTTCAAGCCGTGTCTCGACTATCTTCAGGCAATTACTTTAATGTCTTGGTAACAACATTATATATATATATATATATACATGTAGAGGCTACTTTATCCGTTGTAGTAAAATCTTTACTCTGACAAAATCGAACTAGAATCACTGGGTTGTTTAGAGGTGTTATAATTTATACATGCATGTGACTGCCTGCGTAAACTATCTTTGGAATATTTGTAACCCTGGTTATACCTAGTTGTCATGTTTGTAAAATGTTATAGATGTATACACTTGTATAAACAATGCTGGACACTGGAATTTTGTGTTATCTATTCTTTGGTCAAAAAAGATCTGAATTGAAAAGTTTTGTTCCTTATGCATGCACTATTCTGAAAATCAACATTTTATTGGAGACATTAAAGTCTCATCTTTACGTTGGTAATTTATCCAGACTCAATTTTATCATTTACTAACTAGTTTTCATTTTGTTATACCTGTATACATGGCAATTAGTTATATTTTCAGGTAAATATGTGTTTGGAAATCTTAATTGTTTTTAGTCTCTATTATTATAGATTGCATGAGAATTAATGTTAGATGTATGTTGATGTCTGATACCCTGTGCTCAGTCTTACTTTGAAGGTATATTGTAATAATAGTGCCAAAGACATGTTGGTAATTTGTATACTGACTGAATAGGACAAATCATTTATTGTAACAAGATTCCATTCCAAAACACATGTATATTTAAAAAAAAATTTTGAAGTTGGTGATTGAAATTCAATGGAATACGCACATTTTTTAATTGCTTTGTATGAAAAATGTTACCAGTGAGACTTAATGTGATATAAAGGTGATCCTGACCATTTCTTGTTTTAATCAGGGTAATGTTACCAGTGAGACTTAATGTAATATAAATGTGATCCTGACCAGGGTCAGTCTGAAATCCAGAACAGCTGACATATTAGATGTACATCTGTATGTAGGAAACAAGAACAGAAGGATTTTTTTTTTTTTTTGTTCTGTCTTTAAAACTTCATGAAATTCAGGAAAATCAACAATATATGCTGCTTAACACAAGTTTTACATAATTGTTTTCCCATCTCTACCACCATCACCTCAACATAGACATAAGATTGTTGTTCAGTTTTTAAAAGAGTAGTTAGTTAGGTCTGTATCATTACATGACCAAGAAAAGCTGTTCACTTGTGCCTAAATGATGATCTGGGAGATAAACTACTGGATTCTAGTAAATGAATAGAAACAATAATTAGCTTTATTAATAAAAATAGGGTTGTGTGAAATTAATGACAGAAATATTTCACAGAAATGGAAAACTGAAACTAATGATATAGATATGTTGATTTTTCAGAATTATCAGAAAGATGGATTGAGTCAGGGCAGCCCAGAGGACCATCGAATACATTCCACAATGACGTCAGCGGGCAATTTTGCACCTGATACAAAACATTACGAGCTTTACACAGTTATAGGTGAGAGGCAAAACTACAGTTATTTTTACGCTTATTTTCTTGTTCTTTAGACTGAACAGAGACTAACCATGTTTTCAGTTATGAATAAACTGTATAAGTTTTGATTTTCATAGTTTTATTACTAAGTTAAAATTTAAAGTTACAAACCAAAATCACTTGTTTAGAGACTTGTGATTATTGGTCTGTTAAGTGACCTTAAAAAGCTAGAATGTTAAAATTTCATGGTGAAGGCACAATAAGTCAGACTATGGCACTTTGAAGTTTATGAATTAGGTCAGGTCCCATTTGATGGTTAAATTTGTGAGATATCTGTGCTAAGACATAATTCTTGGGCCTCATTTCTGTTTACTTTTAACACTATACTTGCAGTCTCAACTTAATTTCTATTAATATTGAAACAATATTGTTTTATTGTGCTGCAGGGCGCGGGTGTAATGATGCAGCTGGCATCATTCTTACCAAGCATATGCCGTCCGGCAAACACATTGCCGTCAAAAAAACAAACCTTGAGTCCTGTGACATGGACTTCTCAATTCTCCAGGTAAATAATTTAAGAGATCCTTAACTTAAAACAAGAGTCCGTTATGTGTATACTTTGAACAGTGTTGTGTTTCATGGGTCAGCTGTCAAGGCCAGGGTCCCTTGCTTTATATAGGCCTTGTGTAAGTGCATGTTCCATGATATCAAAATCGAAGTGGTTGTAAAATTATATAGAATACTGAAACTAATTTCACTTGGTAGCGGGGTCATTTTTGTCATACAGATATTTTTAGCCCACCATCATCAGATGGTGGGGTATTCAAATCGCCCTGCCGTCCGTGGTCCGTCCGTCCGTCCGTTTGTAAACAATTCTTGTTACCACTATTTCTGGAAAAGTACTGGATGGATCTTTCTCAGATTTCATATGCAGGTTCCCCTTGGTCCCTAGTTGTGCATTGTACCTTTTTTGGACTGATTCGAATTCAAGATGGCCAACAGGTGGCCATCTTGGATTTTGGATGTAAAAGTTTGTTACTGCTATTTCTTGGAAAGTACTAGATGGATCTTCTCAAATTTCATATGCAGGTTCCCTTTGGTTCCAAGTTGTGCATTATACCTTTTTGGACTGATCTGAAATCAAGATGGCTGACAGGCAGCCATCTTGGATTTTGAGAGTAAAATCTTGTTACTGCTATATCTGAGGAAGTACTGGATGGATCCTTCTGATATTTCATAGATATTGGTTTCCCTTGGTCCCTAGTTGTGCATTGTACCTTTTTTGGACTGATTTGAAATCAAGGTGGCCCACAGGCAGCCATCTTGGATGTCGACAGTAATACAGCACAAGCATATTGTCCATTATCCACCTGTAACTGACTGCTATCTAATAATACTTTGGGATCTTTTTCAAATGATATTTGCTAATAGGTGCTTAATAAAAATATCTTGTGCCATCATTGAGTACATTCAACGAAGACCAGTTCATGAACATTAACAACACCTGTAACAAACAAACAAAAATAAACAAATCTTCAAGAACTGAAAACAGATCTTCAAATGGTGGGCGCCAAGATCCCTCTGGGATCTCTTGTTTTTTTCAATTTCTCCATTTCAATATTTTCAGTTTCTGCAGCATATTTGCTGCATACAGATGCAATGAAAAGTTAAACAATTCCACTAACATTTCAGAATGAGGTGATATTGTGCCGACAGCTACAAAATGAGAAAATCCTGCCAATCTTGACCACCTTCATACACAACCATGAGCTTTGGACAGTGATGCCTCTAATGGCTTATGGTCAGTACACTTTGGACGGGGTTCACTTCAATACTCTAAAATCATATATTTGGCTTTGGCTTGAATTTTGTCATTTTACAAAATTTGCATTTTCATTGGCACATGATTTCATGAATAAAAAGTCTTGGTCACGAAATCCATTAACACTACGATCAATTTCAATTTTAAGCCCACCATTATCAGATGGTTGGCTATTCAATTCGCTCTGTGTCCTTGGTCCTTTGCCCGTCCATCCGTACTGGATGGATCTTTCTCATATTTCATATGTAGGTTCCTCTTGGTTCCTCATTGTGCCCGTTATGCACTTAATGCACTGATTAAAAAAGAGATGAATCTCTCTGAAATTTCATATGTACATTTCCTTGGTCCATATTTGTGCCGATTTGATTTTGGGTTTGAACATCTGAGATGTTAACTTTGAAAGATTGTAATTGCTTTTCCTATAGAAGTACACAATGGATCTTTCTTAAATTTCATATGTAGATTCCTCTTGGTCCCATGTTGTGCCCATCTTATTTTGGTACTGATCAGAAAAAATGAAAATGGCCCACAATTGGCCATCTTGGATTTTTACTTCTAAAGTTTGTTATCACTATTTCTTTAAAACTACTCTGACTGATCAGAAGAAATTTCACCTAGTAAAGATTGCTTTCCTATTTCTTGAAAAATACTGAATTAATCTGTCTCAAATTTCATGCATATGTTCCCTTTGGTCTCTTCCTGTGCTCGTTTCATTTTTGGGCTGATTTGAAAAAACAAAATAGGCCCCAGACGACTAACTTCGATTTGGCATGTATAGATTATCATCATGATTTCTGCATGAATGTTCAAATTGTTAATCATTAACAGCAAAAATAAACAAGAGAAGAGAAAAAACAGGAAAAGAACCAATTTTAAAAAGCAAATAAGGATCTAACAATGGTGGGCACTAAGATTCCTCTCTTGTTTGTTTCCCATTTTGTGTACATCAAATATTGAACATATATAAAACCCCACAAAAATTAATGATTTTACAACACTTGGTGTGAATTATTATAGCCCCTGATCATCACACTTTTAAAATGTGACATTAAAAAAAATAAGACAGTATTTTCTCAGAATGTTAGTGATGTGAACTACAATCAGGATAAAATATCAGATTTGTATTAGATGTTTGACAAACTGTACATTTAAACTGAACCCTCCTTATCTTATACTTCTGTAACACTTCTGTTTAATTAAAACACACCTCGATAGATACATACATTGTGTTCAGATAAAAGAAAGTACATTTGTAGTGATTAACAGGAGGAACATTTTGCTGTAATAGGTTGACAAATAATGTTACAGGTTCCTGTAAAGACCTCATCCATGCTTATTTTACCAATGGTCTGCCAGAACAAGCATCCTCCTATATCCTCAGGGACACACTGCTAGCCCTGGAGTACCTCCACTCCAAAGGTATCATACACAGGTATGTATAAAAAATTATACACACGTATGTATCATATATGGAACTTTCTATATGCTCCTAGGCCTGGAGTACATCAACTCCAAAGGTGTGTACCAAAGTTTTACACATTTATGTATCATATGTAGAACTTTTTATATGCTCCTAGGCCTGGAGTACCCCCCAAAAAAGAAGTGTGTATCAAAGTTATACACACATATATACCATAAATAGAATTTGTTATACTCTCCAAGCCCTGGGGTACCCCCAGTAAGGCAGGTATGTATCAAATTATACTCAGGTATGTACCCATGGATCTGTATAAATAGTGCTTATGAGTTGCATATGATTGTAGTTTATGGTTGTTGTCTGTGAAATTTTCCATTGTTTGTAACAGGAGTGTGAGAGCCAGTCACATTTTGGTAGCAGCCTCAGGTAATGTTTGTCTGTCAGGTCTCAGGGATGCCCACAGTATGATACAGCGAGGTCAGAAACTGAGAATCGTTCATGACTACCCCAAGCATTGTGTTCGCTCCTTACAGTGGCTTAGCCCTGAAATACTAGAACAGGTGAGAAACACCAGAAACTTGCTTCTTGAGGTCAGAGGTAAGGATTTCAAACCGTTAAAATTTAGGCAAGGATTCCAGCACTGTTCATATATAAGGAGAATCCAAATTCACAAATAGAGGCCTCTTTTGTATGCTTTTAAAGTAATTTAACAAGTCCATTACACTTTTTTTTTTAAACACATGTCTTGTAAAAGAATAATACTACTTTAGGCTATCTCCTTATTGAAATGAGATTTGACGCAGGATAAAATATAAACCTGAAGAGTAATACATACATTCAGGACAGATTCATTTATAAAACAGTTACACAGTTTCATGTTCACTACTTGAACTTCTGGTTACAATTCTAGAACTTGACGGGATATGACTGTTTGTCTGATATCTACAGTGTTGGAATTACGGCTTGTGAATTGGCTAATGGCTACGCACCTTTCACAGACATGCCAGTCACACAGGTTTGTAATAGTAAAATCTTGATAAACCTGTAACTCATTAGAAGTACTTTTTTATAACACAAACCAATAAGGATTGTATTAAAAAATTAAGGTTCGTAGTTGTAATTCAAAAAGATGGATTACAAAGAACATATATTGATATTGTAGATCAATGTAAAATTTAATTGAAATTGTAGTGTAAAGGGTTTTTATTCCAAAAAGTGTATTGTAATTAGATATTTCTATTTATATATTTCTGCTGACTTTAGATGTTACTAGAGAAAGTTAATGGTACCAAGCCCGTCCTTGCAGACAGCACCACTATAGCAGAACTTGTAGGTAAGGAAAATACAAACCCAGATTTTTAGTTAATGTTTTATGGTGGTTCATCATTAAATGGATTAATCTTATCAGATTAAGAATTTCCTAATTTGAAAAGAATCAGATTTGTTTTATAAGTAGCTTCCAGATTACTTAGATTATATGCTTTGACATTTTAAATAATGAATAAAGTCAGTTTCAAAAAATAAAAAGCATTAAACCCAAATTCTTATATAAGAAATTTCTTTGAAAGTTAAGACATATAAAACACCATCTCCATGTTCCTGATAAATATTGGTAAAGAATGACATTTTGGCAAAGCTGGAATTGTAATTGAAGCTCTAAGTTAATATTAGTGAAGCACTGTTGATGAACCACTTTAATGCTGGTATTAGCTGAAGAATTATGAAGTTTCTGTTCAAAAAGTAGACAACCTGTTCAGATAATCTATAAGAAGAGTTATGTAGATTCTGTTCTAGAGTAGAACCTGTTTTCAGTTCACATGTTTGAAATGAACTTGTTCTTTGTAACTACTCTTTTGAAAAATATGTATTATAGAACACTGTTGAAAGATCATTACATTAGTATTTGGTCCCCAACGCAATTATGGCTTTTGATCTATAAAGCATTTCCATCTCCATTTAAACTACATATTGATGCATTTATTTTCTAAACTTCCAGGTCATGATTCAGGAATCGACAGTGAGGCAACAAACAGTCGAGAGATCACAGACCTTGCAAATGCACGCAAGTTTTCCAACCATTTCCATAACTTTGTTGAACTCTGTTTGGAGAAAAGTCTAGAAACAAGGTTAGTTATCTGCAGACAGGACATTTTTGGTTTATGACAGACATGAGGATCTTTTTCCCTATTATGTAATCTTGAAAGTAAATGTTTTAAAATAATTAGTGTTACATTATCATTATCTGCACTTGTGATGTCATGATATTGATTAACGGTGAAGACCCACGATGGGGAAAGAATATCCCTTCTGTTTCTCACTACATGTAATGAGAGGCGACTACATGTGGGACACCACATGCAGGTCTAGGGTGATTTTACCATTATTTTCTGTCAAGAGGATATCAGAAATGAAAAAAATATGGTCTGCTGTATAATATAGAATGATTTTAGACGAAAACTAAATGTAGGAGAAACTGCAAAATTGTTTTCCACTCCCTAGTGTCCCGATCGACACCTGCCCTCATATGATCCTAGCTGTTTCAAGGGCTTCAGTCTCTGTAAATAAAACAAAACTTGTGTCTCCTAAAAGCTGCATTCTTAAAGGGTCAGTTGTTAACTTCAATGGGAAGTTATGTGATCAAATATCATCTTGAGGAGATTATATTAATCAATTATCAAATGATTACAATGGTTGTTGGTATAAAAGATCAGTGTTATCAAGACAGCATAGTTTGCTTACATATAAGTTCAGTTTTCAGCAGGGTTGTTTTCCCTTTGTAATTGTGTTAGCTTTATAAATGTTTCGGGGTGAGAATTGTTATTTTTTCACTGTGCCTGCATAATTGAAATGATAATACCAAGCTACTGCACTGTTAATGAGAATACCATGTCATTTCTTTTTAATATTTTCCATAATTTTCCAGGCCAAATGCATCCACATTGTTAGGTCATTCATTCTTTAAACATTTGAAGAAAAGGACATCCGAGATGCTGCCTTCACTGCTTCATCCTCTGTCTCCACTCACAGATATCAGCAAAATACCCAAAGGTACGAAGTGTGATCAGGTTATCCCCCTTGTCTCTACTAACAAACATCAACAACATACTTTAAAGCTTCAAAGATGTAAATACATAGATACATGTTAGTTTTGATTGTTTCAATTTCAGATGGTTTTTTTTTTCTAATTTCTAATGTATATTTTGGTAAAGTAAACTTATGATTTATAAATGGGAGGGAGTTATCCATACAGCAAGCATTGTACTGTGTAAATTTAGATATTTTATGAACTAATTTTTTCATATTTTAGTATCTGTTTGTTTTGTATTTTTGCCTCATAGCTGAGGGAGAAGATATAGATGACATGGCTGAAGAAATCAATAACATGTCCGTGGATGAGGGCTGGGAATTCTAGAGATGTGTAACTGTAAGGAGCAAAGATCAGAAATTCTACAAGAACAAGATACAGGTGCTGACAATTCTAGGGATTCACGAGGACAAAGAAAAGATCATCGGGGCTTAAAGGGACTATCCCGAGTATTAATTAGAAAGCTGATTTTTTTTAAATGCTGGAATCTATGGAATGGAAAACTTATTTTTAGAACTATTTGGGGTATGAATCCAGAGGATGAAGAAAAAAGATGACCCCTTATTCATCACCTGGGCAAAAATTGAAATTTTAGATAGATATATTGATACATACACAAACCTAGATACATATATATGTCCTTGATACACGTCCTGATATTTCTGATGTGTAAGTCCAGAACAATGTGTTCCTTTCAATACTGATTATAGGACGATAGTAGGAATTAAACGGGCCTAGTCAAATGATACCTGAAATGAAATCTCCTTACAATGTGGGATACATTGACTATAAACGGGAAAACAAGTTGATATGTGTTAACTTGAATGCATGAAAATATTTCATGTGAGAACATATTCATTATAGCAGGTTGAAGTCCATATCACTATGGTTATTTTGACTTCTGTCTCCATTGGAATGTCTCAACATCATATATCCATATCTATTTTTGTTAGGGCCCTGTAGGAGAATGAAGTGCTCTGTGTCACCATAGCCATTCAGCCCATTTCTAACCTGATGTCATTTTAAGTTCACAATGTTGAATGTTCCCTATTAGATTTAGTGGAAATATTAGGTACAGCAATCTGTAACCAGTTGTAGGCTTTCACACATGCAGCAATTTTCCAGATGTATAGTTTATAAAGATTTATATCGTTTTAGAATGAGGACATGACAGCATGATTATTTTTTTTTGTTCTTTTTGAATTTAACAATGAAAGGGAGGGGGATAAAATTATTTGTTGTTTGGTTAATATGTGATGTACTTGGTTGTTTGTCATGACGCAGGTAAATGTTTGGATGCTTTCCCAGGAAAGTACTCGTCTTCAACACAAATGAATTATTCAGCCTTGATATAGTTTTGATGTAGTCAAGATGAGATTTTTTTTTACACAAAATCATTGAAAGTATTTGATCTGGGTCTCCAAAGGATTAAAAGCTGAAAAGTCGCTCCCCAATGAGATTGGAATCCATAAAATAGGATTCAAATTGGGTCTTTGACTGGGTGAAGTAAATTATTGTAAACTTGATGTTAAAACCACTATAAAGTGATTATTAGCAAATAGTTAAAAAATGATTAAGCTTCATAAAGTAACTAAACTTGATGATAATGGCACTGTTGTGGTCATGTTACATGGATATATATATTGTTATTGCGCACTTACTTACATATATAGAACATTTGTCGGCTATAATTACAAGTGTTAAAAGACACCCATATCTAAAACATTCATTACTTCAGATTAGTTATGTTATATTTAGTTATTTTATTTTCTAATGTCTTATTTTAAATTTTCACAGTATACAGCATGTTCTACACTATACAGTATGTTCTACAGTATACAGCATGTTCTACACTATACAGTATGTTCTACAGTATACAGCATGTTCTACAGTATTCAGCATGTTCTACAGTATACAGTATGTTCTACAGTATACAGTATGTTCTACAGTATTCAGCATGTTCTACAGTATACAGCATGTTCTACAGTATTCAGCATGTTCTACAGTATTCAGCATGTTCTACAGTATACAGTATGTTCTACAGTATACAGTATGTTCTACAGTATACAGTATGCAGTTTGTACTGCAGTATACAGCATGTTCTACAGTATACAGCATGTTCTACAGTATACAGTATGTTCTACAGTATACAGTATGTTCTACAGTATTCAGCATGCTCTACACTATACAGCATGTTCTACAGTATTCAGCATGTTCTACAGTATACAGCATGTTCTACAGTATTCAGCATGTTCTACAGTATACAGTATGTTCTACAGTATACAGTATGTTCTACAGTATACAGTATGCAGTTTGTACTGCAGTATACAGCATGTTCTACAGTATACAGCATGTTCTACAGTATACAGTATGTTCTACAGTATACAGCATGTTCTACAGTATACAGTATGATTTACAGTATACAGTATGTTCTACAGTATACAGTGTGTTCTACAGTATACAGTGTGTTCTACAGTATACAGCGTGTTCTACAGTATACAGTGTGTTCTACAGTATACAGTGTGTTCTGCAATATACAGTATGTACTACAGTATACAGTATGTTCTACAGTATACAGTATGTTTTACAGTATACAGTATGTTCTACACTATACAGTATGTTCTACAGTATACATTATGTTTTACAGTATACAGTATGTTCTACACTATACAGTATGTACTACAGTATACAGTATGTTCTACAGTATACAGTATGTTCTACACTATACAGTATGTTCTACAGTATACAGTATGTTCTACACTATACAGTATGTTTTACAGTATACAGTATGTTCTACACTATACAGTATGTTCTACAGTATACAGTATGTTCTGCAGTATACAGCATGTTCTACAGTATACAGTATGTTCTGCAGTATACAGCATGTTTTGCAGTATACATTATGTTCTGCAGTATACAGTATGCTCTACAGTATACATTATGTTCTGCAGTATACAGTATGCCCTACAGTATACAGTGTGTTCTACAGTATACAGTATGTTCTACAATATACAGTATGTTCTACAGTATACAGGATGTTCTACAGTATACAGTGTGTTCTACAGTATACAGTATGTTCTACAATATACAGTATGTTCTACAGTATACAGGATGTTCTACAGTATACAGTATGTTCTACAGTATACAGGATGTTCTACAGTATACAGTATGTTCTACAGTATACAGTATGTTTTACAGTATGCAGTATGTTCTACAGTATGCAGTATGTTCTACAGTATACAATATGTTCCATGTATAATTTTAAAATGGAGGAAATAGTTTGATTACTATATATTATTTAATATGTTAGATTTACAATAAAAATATTTCCCTTTACAAGACAGGCGTTGATATCATTGAGCAATTTCTTTCAAATTGCCAACAGGAAAAGTAGGAAGTTATCTTTGTATAAGTTTATATAACGTACTAATGTTACACAATAGACCAGTAAGATAGTTGATTAAGGTGACATGTGGTTTTACATTTGGTATACCTGTATCATGTTTGTTAAGGATATAACATTGTTGTTATGCCAGTAAAGAATAAAATATATGTTGAACTAAACAGCTTCCAGTGTTGTTGACCTTTTTATGTAGTAATTGTAGACATCTTTTGAAAAGTATTGTCGACCTAGGAGAAAAGTAAATGCCACGAGTTTCACACCACTATCCCATAATGTATGGTAGATTTTAGATTGAAAGATAATTGAGATAATGGCATGCGCTAGCTATGTGAAAGGGCAGCTGCCAATGAGCAAGCATGGTGACCTATGTTACATCTGGGGTAACACTGGATCACAAGTATTAATAATTAAGTGTTTGAAGATTGGAATGACATACTTTTTCATTATCAATTTTATGTTAGCAAGCCTTCCGAGTTGAGTCTTGAAGTGGTGATATTTAAAATTGGATTTTTGTTGGATAGCAAAGAGAGATCCAAATGTACTGGTTTCATAAGAGGATCGTTGACAGTCAGACTGAAACGAAAATAGTAAGTGGTGGGTTTTCAGTATACTATCACTATGGATTTGGTATCTTTGACCTAATCTGTGATTGACCCGGTCGGACGATTGAAAAATCCGAACTATATTCATTAACAATAATAATCATGTGACAAATTATGACAATAGAATAAATAATAAATCAGTAACGGGAGTAGGTTTATTTCTTCATTTAAAAAATTGAGCTTGTCTAACTGGTGACTTGATACGTTCATGATCAGTCCGATGGCGGCATTGATCACGTGGTGAGCTGCATCAGCTCGTCCTCTTTAAGCGCAATAATGAGCATGATCCCCGAGCCAACACCCATTCCCAACATCGTGAAGACAAGATGGCGCACAGGATTCTTCGTGGGGCTGCTACTTATTTCGGGAAGCTAATAAGAAAAGAAAACTTTCTGATTTTAAGTAGACGTAAGTGTACAATTCAATAGTACTCGAATGTATCAGCAGAATTTTTTTTTATGTTATTATGCTAATTAGCGCCAGTGAACTTTCAATTCTCACTTTCAAAAGAAAAAATACCAACAGTTTTCAATTAGATCATGATAAAGTTTTATCAGAACAAATGACAGGGAAAAAGTTATCAGCAGCAGGTTTTAATATGTACCAAAATTTCAAAACAATAATGATGAGAAAACTAAAACACTGGAGATATAACACTCAATGTATGAACACTCAACGGCAACATATCACTAAAACACACTGGAGATATAACACTCAATATAGGGACACTCAACGGCAACAAATCACTAAAACACGCTGGAGATACAACGCTCAATATAGGAACACTCAACGGCAACATAACACTAAAAATACACTGGAGATTACACACTCAATGTAGGGACACTCAACGGCAATATATCACTTAAACACACTGGAGATAAAACACTCAATATAGGGACACTCAACGGCAACATATCACTAAAACACACTGGAGATATAACACTCAATATAGGGACACTCAACGGCAACATATCACTAAAACACACTGGAGATAAAACACTCAATATAGGGACACTCAACGGCAACATATCACTAAAAACACACTGGAGATACAACACTCAATATAGGGACACTCAACGGCAACATATCACTTAAACCACACTGGGAATACAACACTCAATATAGGAACACTCAACGGCAACAAATCACTAAAACACACTGGAGATATAACACTCAATATAGGGACACTCAACGGCAACATATCACTTAAACCACACTGGGGATACAACACTCAATATAGGAACACTCAACGGCAACATATCACTAAAAACACACTGGAGATACAACACTCAATATAGGGACACTCAACGGCAACATATCACTAAAAACACACTGGAGATACAACACTCAATATAGGGACACTCAACGGCAACATATCACTAAAAACACACTGGAGATATAACACTCAATGTAGGAACACTCAACGGCAATAAATTACTAAAACACACTGGAGATACATCACTCAATGTAGGAACACTCAACGGCAACATAACACTAAAACACTGGAGATACAACACTCAATATAGGGACACTCAACGGCAACATATCACTTAAAACACACTGGGGATACAACACTCAATATAGGGACACTCAACGGCAACATATCACTAAAACACACTGGGAATACAACACTCAATATAGGGACACTCAACGGCAACATATCACTTAAACCACACTGGGAATACAACACTCAATATAGGAACACTCAACGGCAACATATCATTAAAAACACACTGGAGATACAACACTCAATATAGGGACACTCAACGGCAACATATCACTAAAACACACTGGAGATACAACACTCAATATAGGGACACTCAACGGCAACATATCACTAAAAACACACTGGAGATACAACACTCAATATAGGGACACTCAACGGCAACATATCACTAAAACACACTGGCGATACAACACTCAATATAGGGACACTCAACGGCAACATATCACTAAAACACACTGGAGATATAACAAACAAAATAGGGACACACAACGGCAACAAAACAATTAAACCACACTGGGGATACAACACTCAATATAGGAACACTCAACGGCAACATATCACTAAAAACACACTGGAGATACAACACTCAATATAGGGACACTCAACGGCAACATATCACTAAAACACACTGGAGATATAACACTCAATATAGGGACACTCAACGGCAACATATCACTAAAACACACTGGAGATACAACACTCAATATAGGGACACTCAACGGCAACATATCACTAAAACACACAGGACTCAATATAGGAGACTAAAACACACAATATAACACTCAATATAGGGAGAACACTCAACACACTGGCAACATATCACTATCAAAACACACTGGGATACAACACTCAATATAGGGACACTCAACGGCAACATATCACTAAAACACACTGGAGATACAACACACAAAATAGGGACACACAAAGGCAACATATCACTAAAAACACACTGGAGATACAACACTCAATATAGGGACACTCAACGGCAACAAATCACTAAAACACACTGGGGATACAACACTCATTATAGGGACACTCAACGGCAACATATCACTAAAAACACACTGGAGATATAACACTCAATATAGGGACACCCAACGGCAACAAATTACTAAAACACACTGGAGATACAACACTCAATATAGGGACACTCAACGGCAACAAATCACTAAAACACACTGGAGATACAACACTCAATATAGGAACACTCAACGGCAACATATCACTAAAAACACACTGGAGATACAACACTCAATATAGGGACACTCAAGGGCAACAAATCACTAAAACACACTGGAGATATAACACTCAATGTAGGAACACTCAACGGCAACATATCACTAAAACACACTGGAGATACAACACTCAATATAGGGACACTCAACGGCAACATATCACTAAAACACACTGGAGATACAACACTCAATATAGGGACACTCAACGGCAACATATCACTAAAACACACTGGAGATACAACACTCAATATAGGGACTCAACGGCAATATATCACTAAAACACACCGGAGATATAACACTCAATGTAGGAACACTCAACGGCAACATATCACTAAAACACACTGGAGATACAACACTCAATATAGGGACACTCAACGGCAACATATCACTAAAACACACTGGAGATATAACACTCAATGTAGGAACACTCAACGGCAACATATCACTAAAACACACTGGAGATACAACACTCAATATAGGGACACTCAACGGCAACATATCACTAAAACACACTGGAGATATAACACTCAATGTAGGAACGGCAACATATCACTAAAACACACTGGAGATACAACACTCAATATAGGGACACTCAACGGCAACATATCACTAAAACACACTGGAGATACAACACTCAATATAGGGACACTCAACGGCAACATATCACTAAAAACACACTGGAGATACAACACTCAATATAGGGACACTCAACGGCAACATATCACTAAAACACACTGGAGATATAACACTCAATGTAGGAACGGCAACATATCACTAAAACACACTGGAGATACAACACTCAATATAGGGACACTCAACGGCAACAAATCACTAAAAACGCACTGGAGATACAGCATTCAATACATGGACACTCAACGGCATAACATCACTAAAAGCACCAGATTGAGTTTAAATTAAAGGATTTCATATTACTGAGGTAAAACTTCTTTTTGAGGGACATAAATTACAGCAACTGGTTTAGAATTATTGTTTAATGAATAGGGTTGATACCGTAGTCGGTATTTTGTGTCTTGTTTGAGGTTTCATGACCTCAATTGCACTTTGGACATGTGAACTAACATTGGTAATACATGTATATGGATTCATGAAATGAAAGTCGACTTACCATATCAACAAGAGAAATATAAATAAACATCGCAGCCACACACACCAGGATGTAGACTTTGATGCCAGTGAAGTTACCCATGGCGACTCCTGCTACCGCGCCAATTAATGACAGAACAGACGAAAGGAAGTTAAACCCCAGTGCTTGTTTCACCGACATCCCTTTCTTAAGCAGGACAGCAAAGTCACCTAGTACGTCAATAAAATCTACTTATTGTTAGGTAAATATAGGTACAGCACTGACTTGTTTGGATTAATTGTCGCGTATAAAACGTTATTTCTTATTTTAGACCACAGGCTGAAAATAGTAGTTCTGTAATGTTTACCCTCAGTGAAAATAGAAATGAATATTTTATTATTCTTTAAGATCCAAAATCAAAAAGGTTAAAAACCGCACCAAATTCGGCCGGCCAATACCGAGATATTGAATTGTAAATTGTACGATTTTCACCTGTCTGTCTACTTAAATTCAGCTTAAGCGTAACAAGCGCTGAATGAAACCCTGTCGGCTGTGACGTCACAAGTTTAACACTGTAGAAGACAGGGACGAGATCGGGGACAGCCACGATACGCAAGGTCAAATTACAAATTAATATTTTATAGTTCTGAGTAATTAGATGATTATGACGATAATATTATGTAGACGGTATCCAGCCGAATGAAATTTGTAAGAATGTGTTGTCAAGCTTAAAGGAAGGAATAAAGCACACATTTGACGCCTTCTCCCAATATACGTTAGCGTGGAAAAATATAATTATTGCAACCTGCATATACAGAGAGAGGAAAAAGAACGGTGGCGGAATAATATAATGATATATATTAGCACTATGCCCAAATGTGAAATGCAATAGTTAACTTCCAATATTGGATCATCCGTCTTCAAATTTTTTTTAATAAACGAGGGCTTCATTAGGCAGTCATGAATTAGGGTACCCTAATGTACACAAAGTTTACATGACGGCAGTTGTCAGACCGATCCCTCACAGCAAAAACGTCGCTAATTCTGCAGGGCATTGAGTTCATAAGGACATTGACTGGCTGAAGAGGAACGTTATTCCATACCTTGGCAAGTGCCTTGACCAAGTGGCGGAGGTTATTTGGAATGTTTGCCTGATTCCAAACTCTTTTGTTCAACTCAGCCCACAAGTGTTTGATTGAAGAAAATTGGGGCTATATGGAGACCGATCAATAGGGACGATGATGTAGGTTGCAAGAAAGTCCCTGCAACATTTGGCCTAGCGTAATCATACTGAAACGTCAACTGATACCTTATGATGAAAGTCACAACATGAAGCTTCAGGATCTCGTCTCGATAGCGATAACGAATAGCCGTTCAATTCCCGTTGATGATCAATAAAGGTGTCATTCAGCTATGGGAAATCCACCACAAAATCTGTCACGCTCCAAATAACAAGCGGGTACACAGGTTAACGACCATCTGATCGATATAACGTGAATGGAGAGTCATCCATGAAGAGAAAAAGAAAACCAACGTCTCCTACGGAAACGTTTAGGTACATGTGTCATCAACAATTGCATACAACGTGCTCAACATTGAGGTGTCAGTGGCAAACCAATGTTTAGGCTAAGCGGGCGTTAGTTTTGCCCCTAATAGTGTATTTCTCACAACTGTTGGTGAATTCAACGGTTTCCATTTTTACTTTTTTATACGGCTGAGTGTATTGAATACAGAACATTTTACAATTAAAGATGTTGTCTTTCTTCATTCTTTCAGTATATCTATCATCAAAACCTGCTACTATACTTAATGCAGGACTGCACATGTCTGAAGTTATTTAAATCAACAGATAAAGGTCCATAGTAAGATGAGGATTTCCGAACAAACATATACCCAAAATGAACGCAACATTCAAAGTAGTGAAATTTTGTTTAAGTCATTGCTCATAGTTGTTCTAGATGAATAAAGTCTAAACGTATACGCGGTTTTAGAATATTTTTTCAGGTTGGTAATAACAATAGAATAGAGGTTCATATGACACAGTGGACGATTAAAGTGTGACGTTTTGATGACTACAAGGTAACCTTCATCTTATAACACAACCAGTAGAAGATTAGAGTGTGACGTTTCGATGAGTGCAAGGTTACCTAGATCCGACATATAACCAGCGTGGAGCGTACTAGCACTTAAGTATGTAGTGTACGAGGTGGTTAGGAATCGGCTATTTTTTCCGGCTGTGCTATAATTCTATGTCGAAAATAGTGTGCCGAGATGGTAAACAGATTATAGACCAAAACATACACCACAAGGTAACAGTGTACTCTAGTCAATTCGGTTACGCTCTGTTTAACACGAATGAGTTATCAAACAAAGTTTGTTTTTATAGGGGGTCGAGAAAGATACAGATGGAGCTAAGAATGACCCACGAAGACTCGGTGATCTAAAAATACAATATAAAAACAGTAGGTTTGAAGGGCGCAACAGACTCATCCTTCTCTTACTCTGATCATTCCATTTAACGGAACCAGTCTCCAAAAAGCTGTATGATAAGCGTGATATGATTGCGATTTCTCTATATTAAATTTACATATCTAGGTTGCAATATGCCTGCTTTACATAAATTAAGCGACTCGCAGCTAATACCATAGTCGTCTCCATGAGCTGTTACATTTGGCCGAGACTCGTTATTATGCTTGTGTGTATTGTTATCTTATTGCCGTGGTTATGCACAGGCACGCTCCAAAGCACAGTCTAAGTTTAGTATGACTCGAAAATTACATTGGTGTATTCTTTGTCATGTGATTTAATACAATTGTATGTAAAGGCACACGATACGGAACCAGTCATGCTCACGCTGTAAGTTCATGCTGAAACCTCATTCCGGGCGACCGTACTGTATGTACGGTTATTTGATATCTACAGAGTAAAGAACAATATTCAGATTCTAAAGTACGTGTCACAAAGTGGGTTTAGGACATTTTAATTTTAAGTGCTGTTGTCGTTTTCGTTCCCTGTCATTTGTATATGTTTTCCACGTATTCCTATCACATTGCAAACTTAAAACGTGCAATTGTCCATTCAAATATGATAAGTGTGATCTACTCTAAACTGAAGCGAGATGGACCCTGTCACATTGGTAACGAATGTGTCAATAAAATTATTTAAAAAATACTTTTCAACTTTCTGATATTGTAATTTGACTACAAGCTTTATGCATATAATCAAAACATTTGCTGTGTCATCGTTTGTCTTCACAAGGAATGAGATTGACCACAGTGCAGATATACATATTCAGCTACAAATTCGGTGAATGGCGGATGTCATCAATAAAGATTCCATTAGGTTTTCTTAGAGCGATATACGGTGACTGACAGGAAAACGACAAAGAGGAATGATTAGAAATGATTAGAAATAAGAAGGTTCATAAACAATGTGTGGGGAAATCGAGTGATACGTTTAGGTCTTGTCTTCAGCTCATTGGGATGTCAGATATTATTTGATGAACCTGTGTAAAAGTTGTGCGAAGATTAAAAAATAAATGTATATTTAATGCATGTAGAGTTAAGATACTATATTGGAAAATATGTAAAAAAAAAAAAAAAATGATGGCAAAGTGAAACTTCCTTTACAAGAAGTTAGTTACCTATCTCGTGAGGCAGTTCATGACACAACACTGCTATGGAAGTACTCAGACCACTGGTGACACTGACAGCGAACGCCACACCGATAGCCAGACCATCACTTAAGTTGTGGATCCCGTCCCCTACAATCACTCTCCACACCATTGCTCCGGTGGACGAAGAGAGTCCTTCCATGTCGTGACTGTGAGAATGTCCATGTGCATGACTGTATTTTCCTTTCCAATTGCCCAATTCATTTGACTTGGCACCTGCAACTTTCTCCAATATGATGTTGCCGTCGTCGTCTGGAAGTGAAGCAGATGACATGAAGCATATACTTCGGTTGCAACCCTATTGGCCCTAACATCACTGGCGAGCCCTAGAAGGACGATGAATTCTAATTCATAACTTTGCTATCCAAAGTTGCTATTCTCTTTTGGTGCATATCTTCATATTGTACTCTACCGCAGGTCACGTCTGCCAATAGATAAATGAATTTTTTAATGATCGAATCAAATACAATTTTTGAGTTTATAGTTGACATTTATAAAAGTACCGTGGATTTTTTTATTCCCGATAGTTAAAACATGAAACTATTGCATGTAAATTATTCCATACGGTTTTTTTTCGCAAATAAAAGAACTAAACGAAATTTTACAGAAACTTGTGTAATAAAGTTCAATTTATGTAGTACGCAAATTTTTGTAGTGGATTCACTTTTGTTGATTTCGTGAGCATTCTTGATAAACGAATCCATATGTGAACGAAATGTTCAAATTAGTATAAAAAGATTTATTGAACTTTATTTATCCACGAAATCAAGTGTCTATTTCTTAAATCGATTATACATGTATCATGAAAATTTATCCAAACCAAAACATGTCATTTCATAGCAATTTCTTATTAAAAATTTCGCATATTCTTCGCAATAAGCATCTGATATTGTCTATGCTGAATAAAATAGAAGACGTGAACAAGATATTTTTGAGGTTGGAAAAGTATGTTGCCAAATTGCGTTGGCTGATAAATAAATGAAATCTTAACATTAAAGAGAAGTGAAATCCATGCATTAAAGTTGGAATCTTAACATTTTGATTTGCGGTGTGGCTTACCTGGTGATTTAATCACCATTGTCATACTGACTGAATCAACATCATCGAGCTCTTTCTGCGTTTTCTGTAAAGATATAGTCATGAAAGTAGGTACTAACCCGACACAAGAAAAATCAGTGCACCAGTGTAGTGTTTCTCCACTATCCATCTATATTTCCCTACATATTTCTTCCCTTTTCTCATAAAACTGGTCAATAGAACGAACTGTAGGCAATGTAGACATTTACAATGAATTTTTAATTACTTTGCAAATTTAGTCTTCCCTGTTTTGAGCGGCAGATGGATCAGCAAGGACACGGAGAAAGAAAACACTGGCATGGAATGTGACTCACACACAACCTCTCTCTCTCTCTCTCTCTCTCTCTCTCTCACACACACACACACACACACACACACACTCTCTCTCTCTCTCTCTCTCTCTCTCTCTCTCTCTCTCTCTCTCTCTCTCTCTCTCTCTCTCTCTCACACACACACACACACACGCTAACTAACTAACTAAGGACTTGTTCATCCTTTTGATTTATTATTGTTACAAGACATGGCTTCATAAAAGTTTGATCACTTGTGCCCGACACATTGTATTTAATGAAATCAAATAAACTATTGCAATAACACTCATTATGAAACTTGTTGTTTGACACACGTGTTATATGACCTAGCAAAATTATCACTGGCTGATGTTTCCCATTGTTTCCAAGGTGACGCATGGCGTGATGGTGTCACACCCATCGTACCGTCACCAAGAAGATCATCCCCAACTTAGATTTTGTATCGCATCGTTCTCAAACAAATGTTATCTTATGAATGCTACAAAAGTATCTAAGGTGCATTATAAACAAAACCTTACTTTTCTTCCTATTTCATGTAAGATCTATGAAACTCTTCACGAAGTTTCCATCTTGATTCACTACCGATTCGTTTCATATTCTCGGAAGTTTACACACTACATGATTAAATGTTCCCACTTGGCTGAAGTGAAATCAAGTGGATCTGGGATCAATGAAAAGCCATGGAAAGACATCTGTTAGCACTTTGACCTCTAGTTTCTTTTGAGTTTACATGTTCAGATAATTAACTGTACTGGCACATATGTACGCATTTCTAATCAGTTCTTAGTATTTTTATACTTCAGAGCGTTTGGTTGCATTTGCAGAGAAGCAATTGTAGCGACTGGCAGTAGAATTGATCTTTATTTTTCACCTTTCCTTATTGTACTCGCGAACCTCACATTGATAAATATTACGATGCATACCTTCGATTTCTTACTACTTGCTATGATCTGGATTCTTCCAAACAGAAAGAAGAAATAGAAAACCGCCAGTCCCGCTAAACCTTTGTGTACGCCTTCCATGTCGTGAGCTTCGGACGCATCGTGGGTGTGGCCATTGGTCGAGGACAGTGCCTATGAACGACAACCAAACAAATAAGGAATTGGATGTCCTACCAAACTCTTGTTTCGTTGATTTTGAGGTTTCTTGTTCGTTTGTTTACCACAAGTTTCAGAAAACAATAACATCATTTTCGTTAACATACATGAGGAAGAAGATGCAACATAGCGTCACCAGTCAGGGCTCCGACCGCCATCGCCACTAAAAAGTGGAGGAAGTTCACGACAAACAGGTGGTGGAAGACAGACAGAAGACCCACACAGATGATACCCGATAAACTGATCACCACGATAGCACCACACGCATATAGCCAGGCTGTGATAAAAGTTTGAAAAATAACTATGCTTAGTGTCGTATAATCTCCTAATGTCTCCAGGATTTTAAGATTGCAATCTATTTTTATATTCAAGGCTATATTAACAAACAACATATCAATGATACAAAAAGTTACAACACGGGTTAAAATTGTCAGTTATATGGTTAACATAGGACAACATATTCCACATCTTTTTGTAACATATTGAATTCTTTCTCATCTCTTCATATATGAAATATAACCCAAGTGTAACCCCAACCCATCTGTATTTCTTTAGTCGCCCTTGGTTTCATGATTTAAGCCTCAAGCATCCATGACGAGTCCTAGAAGAACGAAACAGCTGTGCGATGTAGTTTAATTCACATTTCTTGTATTGAAAAGCGGTATGCGTTTTTGTCATTTCTACAATCCAAAAGTCTGCCTCGTCTTCTTTTGAATGAAATCTAGAGAACTTTGCTGTACTCACTTTCGACTGTTATCTCTGTATCTGATGAACTCTTATGTTCTTGTTCGTCGATGTGTTCATTCGCAACATCATCGTGAGTGAAGTTGTCACAATGGTGTCCATCTATCTGTAGTATTAGTAGGGGACACAGCTCTCGGAATTGGGCCTTCGTCAGACCTCGGTCATTAAAGCTAAAGAGCTGCAGTATATCCTTAGGTTTCAGACACTGAATTACATAAACATATAAGCACTTATTAGGAGATGATTGAAATTGAGGCATTGTATTGGCCAGTTTTATCACTCGATAACATGAAATTAACGGAACATAAATGTTGATATCAATGTAAATGTATTAATATATGAACTTATGTCAATAAAACAAATATTAGTATTTTCACACACGTACATCATCATATAATGTCCGATAAAAGATTTTAAATTTAAAACATGATTGTTTAATTAATTGTTACTGTTTAGGTTTAATGAATGTTGTAATTATTTTATTGTGTGTCAGGAGAGGACATTACTTAAGTTGTTATAAATTTTGCCCGATCCCCTTGTCATTATTTAAACAACAAAATATGTTTTAACTAACTTTCAAATTTAAAAAATGTTTTTGTAAAGTCATGTTTGATTGGCCATTGTGACGGTGTAAGAAATAATCAAAGAAATGAGTTCATGACAAACGTAAAAAATATTGCAATCTGTAATGAAAGTGTAAATAATATTTATTATGTTATTGACTAATAACGAAGAAAATGAGTGTACTCTTGGCGTTAACCTCTTCTGAGTTTATCAAGAGTACATTTATATGTGTTCTGACTAAACAACATGAAAATAACTAAATTAATTCTTAATTAGATTGGTTAATTATAACTCAGGAGGCCTAGAAAAAGTACCAGATAATTAGAAATTAGGTTAGGATTCGTCCTACCCAATACCAATACCAGAATTCACAACCTGATATATAAACTGAATATAAAACTCGAGACTGTGTTTTTTTCGCATCGTATCCCGAAAGTTTTGAAAAGGGTAATCAGAATAAAAAACGTTATTGATAAAGAAAGTAATTGTACATTTATATATTATATATATACGGCCATGATTTTTCATTGCTTGCCCGAAAGTCAAGCAAAACCTTTAGCTCTCTAATAAATGACTCACCTTGTGTTATCCTTACTGTTTAGATTATCAATAATAATAATATATTCCTTTCGTGTTAATAAGACAAGACGAACCTTCTGATGACAAAATATAATGAACTTTCATTCTGACAATTATACAGAAACCTTCGCGATCTAGAGTTCTGATTGCAACGACATACCTATTTTCTCTACATCCGTGGAGTATGGCAAAAAAACTCACAGTCGGTCAGTTTTACTGCTGTATTGCGAACGTGCGATTCTCCCCCGTGTATAAGATAATTAGTATTCAACATTTATTGATACGTTAGCAGAATTCTAAAGGTGACTTTCGCAGAGTCATCAAGTTTAATATGTCATATCAAAAGAATGCACAGAAAAGTATTAATTGAAAGCTGGAGTCCTTGAACTTCTCGAATTGTATAAATATTGTATAAAAATTGAAACAAATCAGACAAGTCTTGTCTCACAAACAGACCATGACGTTCAACGAATGACAGAAAAGTCATTTCACGTTTAAGACGTGTTTTCAAACGTAAAGCAATCTTTCATGTCCTGTTTATTTCTAGTTTAAAAAAACAAAAACTGATGTATCGTAGGTATACACTTATCTATATTAGGACAAAGTAACTCGAGGCTTATATCCAGAAATTTATACATGGCTCGTCTGATGGGACATGTTACGGAATAACAACAACAGATGACGCGTAAACAGTCGACAATTGTTGTTATTTTACAACGCGTAGAACAGAAGCGATGTCCTAATTTTGGTATATAATGCTGTCTGACCTATGATATGTATATTTCATTTAAAGTCGAGTAAAATGTGTTTCCTACAGGACAAAACAACCGTTATTTCATTTTAGCGGATTTAAAACGCAGCTATGTCTCAGACATGATTGTATATTTTTTAAAAAGTGTCCCAATAAATGAAGAAAAATGAATGACAATGAATAAATAAATAGATAAATAAAAAGTGTCTAGACTGAGCTTCTAACACGAAGTCGTGATCGAGATCGGTGCCTCGAGTAGCTAGCGCACCATATATTTGTCAACTGTTTGCTCTACAGTACAGCAGCTATCCTATCAATGATAAAGTTGAAGCTTGTTACTTAACGAAGAAGTAGTCTCGGCGACAAGTTTATGAGGTAGATATTTAGGAGCCGTTTAGAAACTTTACAATATTGACTTTTTCAAATGTGCATATATGCTCTAGTGTTAATAAAATGACAGGCCTCGAGGAACAGACGACATGGATTGGAATTAAATAGCTTATATTTGGACAAGTAAACCTTGTACCGTGTCCCCGTCTAATTATATCATCTGATTTAGTCAAGATGTATTCAGATCGGTTGTTGTTTAATCGTTCAGGTCATTAACATAAACTTTTTTTTTTCATCTTTCACAAATCGTACAACATTCTCGTAAATTCTAACGGGTGACGTGAATTATAAGCAAGAAGTATTCGATGTTTTGTAATGGATACTGTGCCTAATTTCTGGGTATATAATAATTTATGATGGATAATTTAGGTCGGTGTAGGTGAGCACTTTCGTTAAAGGATGATTTTCGAAACTGATATAAGACAATATAAAAAGAAGAATTATAATGAGTTTGGTCTAATCAATCGAGGTTAAAATACCAGATTGGTTTTAACTTAAATATAACATTGTATAAATATACAGCAATTCTAACATTACAAATCTGTTTCTCGTGAAAAGATTTTTTTTCTTTCTCAATCCAATCTTTCTAGGTCTAAATCCCTTTAACCAATGTACATAGAAACATAGGATGTATGTATGATATGGTGGACTTTATCATTGAAGTGATAACACATGATAGTATCCACGGATAAACACAAACATTAACACTCATGTAATACAAGTACAAGATAAATGTGTAATGGTGACTTACCTGGCTGAAAACTTCTTGTGGTATAGTTCGGACATTTTTCTCTCCCATACGTCTTTTTTTACGATTATTCAGGGCGTGATCATCTTCACTAGATGAATTTTCATCACGCATGTTATCTTGTACCTGGTGACCATGTTTATCTGCATGATCGTGATCGTGGTTGTCTGTGTGTTTGTCATTGTGATTGTTATAGTCTGTGTGATCGATTGTGTGATCATGATCATCACGGTGTTTGTCTTTTTCATCGTTATCGTCTGTGTGATCGATTGTGTGATCATGATCATCACTGTGTTTGTCTTTTTCATCGTTATCGTCTGTGTGATCTATTGTGTGATCATGATCATCACTGTGTTTGTCTTTTTCATCGTTATCGTCTGTGTGATCTATTGTGTGATCATGATCATCATTGTGTTTGTCTTTGTGGTTGTTATAATCTGTATGATCTATTGTGTGATCATGATCATCACTGTGTTTGTCTTTGTGATTATTATAGTCTGTATGATCGATTATGTGATCATGATCATCACTGTGTTTGTCTTTGTGATCGTGATCATCGTCTGTATGAACGATTGAGTGATCATGATCGTTTGTGATATGGTGTACATGATTATGATGAGATCCCTTGTGGTCGTTCACTTTCGGTTTCAGTGGGTGATTGTGGTCTTGATGAAACTCCATAAATTTTGCCGTCGGGTTGTTGGTATGTGTCTCTAAACTGTGACCTATATATATTACACCGAGGCTTAAACTTTCTAATAAATGTTCATAGGCTTCGAATGTCAGAAGATTGTCTGACGAATATTTATCAAATATGTAATCTACGATAGCGTCAGCGGTGAGTTTGCTAACACTTTCTAGAGTAGACACTTCCTGTGTGGAAACATCAGACACTTCCGATGTTGGTGTTTTAGACACTTCCGGTGTTGGAACTTTAGACACTTCCGGTGTTGGTACTTGTGCAGGCGATGAATGGATGCTTTGTGAAATAATCAGCAAAGTGATAATAAATATGCTCAGGTGTGCCATTTTGGTCATTCCTGCAAAAAGAACAGTCCAATATATATTTGATATTTGATATAAAATATGTTATTAATTGACTTATATGTTTTCGATAATAAAATGACTTCACGCATATACATGATTGTATAGTGACAATGTAGATCAGGGTGTCGAACCGCTTTCTGAAATACTTGCCTCCATTGAACATGTTATGTTAAGAATTCAATCATTGTTATCATGATGAATCTGAAAGAAAGAACAATGAATAGGAAGTTATTGTACCGACTTACAAATTAAAACCATATGTACATACCTTTATCACCCGCCAGACGAATGAAACTAGGACGTAATGACGAGGTTGTGTAAAATTGTTTAGTGTGTATACGTCCCTGCATACGTAATGAAGTGGATGTTTATTTTGTGTGTCACATGGAGATCTCCATACTCACAGATGTAGTATCATTTGGCCGTGCTGCAGTATCATATATACAGACTAAACCCCATTGTGTTTAAAAGCCTTTTGTAAATCTTTTTTCAGATACAATGTTTTATTTTTGTACTTTTACATCACTGAGATGGAAATATTTGAGTCAGGACATACCGTAAAACAAGTGTACAAAGTACAATACTATATGTGAAATAAAATCCTTCACTTACCGTACCGCCTGGTTGATTTTCATTCATGCCGTTCTTCGTTGACGGTATCGTGTACACCAGGTTGTCATGTTTTTTTCCAAATGTATACGGTATCTATATTCCATGATAATTAGTTATGCACTAGACACCAACATGTGACTTAGAATTCATAATGGTGGACCTAATACCAGGGTATTATGGTAGTCGAGTTTGTTTACATGCACAATTTTTTAACCGTTTAAGACGATTCTCTACACAAGATACTTTGTATAAATAAAGATTTTTAAAGTTAAACATTTACAGAATTCGTTTTGAATCTGTACATACAACCTTACTTTAATGTTGACATGGATGAATTCCCATGTCTGGGGAGTTTGTTGCCGGTTAGGAATTTTTTGATGGTAGATATATTATTCTCTGACCACCACACTGCTTTAGTTAAGGTTAGCGTGGTAGGGGCTTGACCTTCTGGTCAGTTTAAATGGAATGTTCTCCCTCCATTCAAATATCCCATTTCGATTCATGTTTACATTCGTGCAATTAAGAGGAGTCTGTCTTCTTTCAAAAAACATTTGATATGCATGCTATTATTTATAATATGTGTTGTATGGTTGTCTGTTGAATGGTAAGGTGTCGCAGTGGAGTGTGACCAACCTGTCAACTGAACGGCCGGGTTTCGCTGTAGAGGATTTGACCAACCTGTCAACTGAATGGCCGGGTGTCGCTGTAGAGGATGTGACCAACCTGTCAACTGAATGGCCGGGTGTCGCTGTAGAGGATGTGACTAACCTGTCAACTGAATGGCCGGGTGTCGCTGTAGAGGATGTGACTAACCTGTCAACTGATAGGCCGGGTGTCGCTGTAGAGGATGTGACCAACCTGTCAACTTAATGGCCGGGCGTCGCTGTAGAGGATGTGACCAACCTGTCAACTGATAGGCCGGGTGTCGCTGTAGAGGATGTGACCAACCTGTCAACTTAATGACCGGGTGTTGCTGTAGAGGATGTGACCAACCTGTCAACTGAATGGCCGGGTGTCGCTGTAGAGGATGTGACCAACCTGTCAACTGATAGGCCGGGTGTCGCTGTAGAGGATGTGACCAACCTGTCAACTTAATGGCCGGGTGTCGCTGTAGAGGATGTGACCAACCTGTCAACTGATAGGCCGGGTGTCGCTGTAGAGGATGTGACCAACCTGTCAACTTAATGACCGGGTGTCGCTGTAGAGGATGTGACCAACCTGTCAACTGAATGGCCGGGTGTCGCTGTAGAGGATGTGACCAACCTGTCAACTGAATGGTCGGGTGTCTCTGTAGAGGATGTGACAAACCTGTCAACTGAATGGCCGGGTGTCGCTGTAGAGGATGTGACAAACCTGTCAACTGAATGGCCGGGTGTCGCTGTAGAGGATGTGACCAACCTGTCAACTGAATGGCCGGGTGTCGCTGTAGAGGATGTGACCAACCTGTCAACTGAATGGCCAGGTGTCGCTGTAGAGGATGTGACAAACCTGTCAACTGAATGGCCGGGTGTCGCTGTAGAGGATGTGACTAACCTGTCAACTGAATGGCCGGTTGTCGCTGTAGAGGATGTGACCAACCTGTCAATTGAATGACCAGATGGCGAAGTGGAGAGTGTGGTCAAATTGCCTGTTGAGGGGTCGGACCCCGCATTGAATAGTGTGGTCCGACTGCCTGTTGAGTCATCTGGTGATAAAGTGGTCCAATCGTCACGTGATGGTCGGCCGACCTAGTGTGATCTGATCGTTAGTTTCGGATGAGGCAGTGGAGAGTGTGATCAGACAATCGGATGAATGGTTGAATGACGCAGTAGATAGTGTGAACAGACAGTCGACTGAGTGGTCGGTTCGGGCAGTGGATAGTGTGTCAGTCGATTGAGTGGTCGGGTGACACAGTGTAAAGTGTGGTCGGGTCCTGCAGTGGATAATCAGATCAGGCAGACCAGTGAGAGGTCTGGCTGACATACAGTGGTCGGATCACACAGTAAATAGTGTGATCAGGTAGTCTAGTGATAGGTCAGGTGATATAGTAGATAATATGGTACATCTGTATGTTGAGTGGTCGGGTCCCGCAATGGGTAATGGTGTTTGTCTGTCAAAGGGTCGGATTGGTCAGTGGATAATGTGGACAGAGAGTTGGTTGAGTGCTGGGCTTGGACAATAGTACTGTGGACAGACAGTTGGTTAAGTGGTCGGGTGACGAAGTGGATAGTGTGGACAGACATTATGTTCATGTATTTGCATGTATGAATCAACCGAATTATTTATGCAAATACTTGTGTATGTATAAATTATTTAAAACATGAGACTGTCATTTTTCCTATCCTGACAAATAGTGTATTCTGTTTTATACACTATGAACATGCGTAGTAGTTCCGAGAGAAATGTTTCACTAACAGGGAGAAATATGCTGATTTCTACCTCCGTTTTTATGCGCTTACACGAACAGATGTAATATCGGCATATGACCCGGAAATGCACCGCAGTAACGCCAGAAACACAAGTGATGACAATAGCTTTGAGAGCGCACTTTATAAATGAATAGAACATGTTAAAAAGATTATAATAAAATATGTTGGAATTAGCACTTCAAACATGAACATCGGTTACCGTTTGTTTGTTTTCTGTGTTTATTCTGAGGCGGGGTCTCCAGGTAGTAGATAGTGGCTACCTCACAGAACACCATACGGGAAGCCAGTCATATGCCATACATAGCGATTAGGGTAATCAGATGGCTTGCCCAAGGACACACCACGTCACCACACACACCTCCGTTCCTGGGAAACAGATACCACCACGGATAGGTTTTACCTGAAGTTATCTAGGTCAACGACCTAACTAGCTGAGTATATCTCTGCACAAATACATTAATGTATTATAATTGAAAATATTAGTTAAATGCGTATAATTTATAGCCTTTTTCGTGTGATATTTATATTCTTGAAACGCATTTTTGAAATACGTATTGAAGACATTAAAACACATATTTTAGAGCTAACTTTTAATTTTCTTCCCATGACAAAAGGAGGCGAAATGGCCGAATGTCAAATATGTACCTAAGCACTCCTAGTCGCCCTAACCAATCTACATAATGAGATAGTTGCGGATAACCAACTCGCTTGATCTGCCGGTGATAAGTGGTAACATAAACATGTAGGATGCCTATTTGAGATAAATGTGTTGTGTATTCAATGTAAACAAATATTTACATATTTATATCGTTATATAGTCAATCTAATATCACCATCGACTTTTATGATTAAACTCGCGAAATCTTCATTTTATCACAGTGATTTGAATCGTAGTTTTTAAAAATACCAACCTGAATTACTTGCAACCACAATGACGTAAACTGAGCACAATAATTCTTGTAATTTATTTATTCTAATTGTATGTTTTGTGTTATTTATCTATTTATGTAAATGAAAGCATAATTTCTATTAAAGTTATCGTAAAATGGTGACAATTTCTGCAATTATCCATAACTTACTATACCCGTATTGTCCATGTTGATAGTTTGATAATTTCTGACGAGTATGTCCTACCGCCCGAACGTATCATGTTGCGAGTAGTGACACATTTAGTCTGTCCAGTCTGAACAACAAATGCTTGAATTGTGACACCTGTCAGCTGCAGATTGAAAGATTAAGTTTTACAGAATTCGTGAAATGTATCCCCTGAACAATACCAGAATTAATACTACCTTATTTAACTTTTTTCCCTTGACGTAACAATAAAATTCGTATGTTTTCGCTTCTTTTCCTGACATTTCTGGCTGGTTGATGTAATGTGTTGGATCTATTAATGTAAAGGTCACCCCAATGTCAAGGAAAATGTAATGGATCAATGAATACTTTCAATTTCATACTTTAACACGGTTTTCATTTCAAACTAAATAATAATTTCCATAAAACTTCTTTTGTTCCGTGTCACCAATTAATATTCTGTTTTTAACGATCAAATCGATAATAACTTGTCGTATATCTGTAGAATTTGTTACCAAGAAGCATTTCTCAGTTGTTAACGGTCCAAGTAAACATCTTTGTAGAACAAGACCAGTAAAATGTTCTTTTAGGATGGCAAGGGTGGCCGTGTGGAGCAGTGGTAACGCACTCGCCTTTTACCTAGCCGTTCGGGGTTCGATTCCCGGAATGAATGTGAAAAGGTATAGGGTCACCTGCCCGACCACGTGGGTTTTCCCCGGATACTGCGCTTTCCACCCACACTAAGACCCCTCGCCCACTTCCATCCGAGCAAACAAGAGTGATTAATATAAGCTGGAAAAACTTTCTTCGCAATTGTTTTAAAATAAACAAAGTTTAGTATTATTTAAAGGGAACAATAAAACCTTTTTTTTAATTTTGCCACGATTGCAAAATAATCCAACATATCAATCACACATTGCCAGGATGGAAGCCCTCGAGGAAACCGGAAAACCCGGTGAAAGCCCACGTAGTCGAGCAGGTCACTCTATACCTTTTCATGTCCGTTACGGGAATCGAACCCCGGACGGCTAGTTGATAGATGAGTGCGTTACCAATGCGCAACCCGATGTTCTTTTACACTATCAAAGTTCAGAGAAGGAATTTTGAACACTTTTTTATCAATACCATAAACGTATATTGATTTCAAGTCAACACCTTTAAAGAATCCGTGAAGCGTATTTTTTATCTTTTTTGTTGTTTAAACAAAATGATGATACGACCATCCATATTCGTGACTGTGATGCAAACAAGGAAGACATTTTGACAAAGACATTGTAAACTCTTCTGCTGTCCTTTATGTAGAGAATCCTGAGAGAGTTGTTATAGTTGATTAATCAGACATAACCTTGAAAGAAGACGGAGTCCCGAATACTAGATTTTCTTTTCTACTCTAACAGCTTTAAGTCTTCAGTCGTTATACACAAAACCGATACTAATTACATTAAAAAGACTGAAACAAAGGTAAAAAAATGCGTTCTTGAAATTGCCATAGGATTAGAATTTAAGAACTGGTATACTGTTTTGTGTTTCCATGGTGAACTATCA